AAAAAAAGATCATATAAAAAGAGAATCAGACAAGAAATAAATGCAAGGAAACTAAAAATGTATTTGCAGAGTTATAATCTACACTGCTAGAAACAGAGCAAGTATGAATAACTATTATGGAGCCATAATGGAAGAAAAACTTGAAAACCTCTTCAATTATGCAGAACAAAAAGGAAAACAGATGAAATAGAAAAAAAGCATAGGTATGAAAGAAAACAAAATACACATAATATTACTGAATATAAAACATGATTAACTAAAATGAAAGCTTACCAAATAAATACATACCTGGTAACAGAAGAAATACCTTTTATACATTTAAACAAGGATATGTGAAGATGGGAGGTTTTCAAAACTCCAAAAGAATGTCAATGAATAGAGAACCATACCTCCACACATTTTCACAACATTCTTGAATTCAAAAGTTGAAGGGAAATTTCAGTAAGCAATCATTTAAAGAAAAAGGAAGAGAAATATACCTATAATGGAACCAAAGATTAGCTAGACTCAGACTTTTCTTTTGCACCATGACATGTCCAAACATAGTAAAGCAATGTCTACAGTTTTGAAAGTGAACTATGACCTCAAATTTTTATACTCAGCTATTATATATATGAGATCTTTCAAAAAACTCTAGGATTAATGCTTCACCTGCATTAATCCATTAGCCTTATACTAATCCTACAAGAAATTTGAGACCTATAAAATACAAAATTGTCAAATTTTCTATGAGTCCCACAGAAAAAGACGTCAGAATTTGAACTTGCACCTATATCATCTGAGACCCTGAGACCTTAGCTATCATGCTACACTGTGTGTAGCACCTTACAAAATATACAGCCCATGTACTTCCTGGAAAAAATTACTTGAAGATATAAATCAAGCAACCAAGAAATAAAGCAAAAATAAAAATTCAGTAATGGAAACATTAGGACTGGCAGTAAGAATTACGATTAATTCACATATATACTCTAGGTTGCAAAATTGAATTTATTTTTATGTGTTTATGTTTACATGCATGCATAGCTTTTCATAGAAAATATAGACAGATATAATTTAATTTTGACACAAAATAAATATGATTGAGAAGGCAGAAAATTTAAAATCTATACTCTTTAGTTTTCTTTACTTTTGATCCATCTCAAGGTTTCTGTAATCTCTGCATTTTCTGATAATAGATAACAGTTTTGATAATGTAGTAATATAATTCTGATTTTAGGCAAAACTTCAAACTTTCTAGTTAGCAGTTGTGAGTGAAAAAAACTCTGAAAAGTTAAGTTTCCTCCCTCTCCATCCTTGCAAAGATGCAGTGTAGAGGCAAGATTTGAAGCACTCCAGCCATTTATAGGACTTAATTAGAAAAAATAAAGAAATGTAAGGCTGGAAACAAGATGGTAACTAACCTTTGTGCAAATAAGCAAAAGAGCCCACTCATGGCAGATACATTAGGAAAAGACACAAAGTCTGGTGGATAAATTAGCAAATGCCTCCCCTTTCTTACCTCCCGAGTTATTAGGGGCTCCTCCCTCTGGGAAGTTGCATCCCAAAGACAGGTGTTTGACTTGGCAAAAGGCCAGTGCCTTCACGAAAAGCAAAGCTCTCCTTTCTGTGGGCGGAAGTTGCTTCTTGTCAGGATACCTGCTCTGGCTTGAGGAATGTGAGCCAGACTTCAGCAGTCCCTCGCCCCATAGATGAACACTTTCATAGGGACCCAACTGCACGACCTTTCACAGCAACCCCTTCTATGAAAATTGGCACAAGTGTGAATCCTAGCCCACCTTGGGATCAAGTCCTCTGGTCAGTGTCATACTTATCCTATATCTTGAAACCTTCTGAATCTATATGTTGTATTCACAAATGTTCTTCTCAATTGGTTAATTTTAAGAATTGTTGAGATATCTGGATTTCAATAGAGTGATTTTTCTGTGTAATGTGAACATTAATCTTGAAACATTGGATGACAATTAATTGCCTAGAAAAAGCTCAGAAATCTTTTTCAACCCCTATTAAGAACCTCTATTCTCTTTTTAAGCATCAGAACCTAGAGGTGCTGTGTCTCTCTCTTCTCAGCTTAACTGAATGGAATAGATTAGTAATTTATTCAGATTCATCTTTTAAAACAAACTGAATAAGAGATTTTGTTTTAATTAAAAAAATAGAATCAAATATTCCAGGATATATTAATTATAATGTAACATTAAAGGTAGAGACAGGTGAGTAAAGTTTGCAAAATTACTTGTCCTAATAGGGCACTGTGATATTCCCACTAAGGAAATGGACAAAGAAAAAACTGGCAAAAGAGGAGAAAAGTATATAAAAAGCCTTGAATTCAGTGGTACCCTCAGACATGTGTACTAATAGGAACTGACCTTTTTTGCTTATTGTATCAATGAAGACTTTTCTGTTACTATCTAGTGTTGATGATGATAAAGAAAAAAAGAAACATTCTTATAAACATCTTGGGGGAGGAAAAAGTTGACTAAGCAGTTTTGAAAGACAGATTAGGCATTACATTCTTCAGTCTGGTGATGCCATTTGATCCTTTCTTTATACTTCATGCATAAGGATTTATAACAGGAAAAATTAGAAACAAATTTAATAGCCATTAGTAGACCAGTTAAAGTATGACATTCACTTAATGAAATACTATATAACATACAAAATTTTTACTACATAAAACTTTACAGAATATAAAAATTTTTAAAGAAATTGAGAATTATCAAATGCTCAATGTAATCAGGAGAGGCAGGAAGAAAAGACAAAAATAAACAAAATGACAGAAATTTTTTATGTGGATGTTTTGTATTATTTTCCTCCTACAAACAGTCCATAAGAATTTCTTTTGTCATTCTCCTTTCCAGCTGGACATAATAAAAACTCACAGTTTTTATTGATTTAATAAGTTAATATTCTCATCTTGTAGTTTTAATGTAAATTTCTGGGCCTATTAGAAAGTATGTACACCACACAGCTGTCACTTGCTGAGGTGGGGAAGACGGCAAGGAACTGCTTTAAGGAGAGGAACCAAAGGAAACACACGCCAGAATGAGAAAGGCAGGCGCCAGCTCACCTAAAACCTAGATCTATCCGGAAAGGCCAAGTGGCTCCACTGCACCTTGGAATACTCTGAAGATGAGTGACAGCGAGCGATTTACCTGTTGGCTTCTGGGCCTGTCGTTCATTGCTCAGAGTTCAGCTCACACGTTAGTACTTCCTCCATTTTTTCCAGACTGCATTACCCAGTACGTACGGGTATTCTTGGGGGAATGGTGCTTCTTCTGCATCTGAAGTGGTAGGAGAAGCCAGAATTCCTACTGCAGGCGTCGCGGAGGGATGGAGCCCTTCCTCAGCAGAGCACTGAGACGGTCAGAGCGAGGCCAAGTGGCCCATGGCTCAGCCTGCCTGCTGCGCACGCGCTCTGCTGCCGCAGCCCCAGGCGGCCTGGTGAAGAAGTCCCACGAAGGTGGAGCAGGCCTAGCGCCACCAGCCGCAGAAACGTGTGTGTCTGAGTGAATTGGCGCATGACTACATCAGGAGGGGTGTATACACTGAGTCCAATTTATCACCTGCTAATCACCTTTCAATCCACTCTCAATAGTTTGAATGTTACACATTTTGAAATCCTAACCTCTTAGTATTAGGTACTAGCAGGAGGTGGGGCCTTTGGTAGATGAGTAGAACATAATGCTGGAGACTTCGTGAATGGGATTAGTGCCCTTAAATAAAGAGACCCAGTGAGGCCCTTGCCCCTCCTGTCAAGTGTGAGCACACAGCAGGAAGACAGCTGTCCCTGAATCAGGACACAGGAACTCACTGGACACTGCACCTGCCGGATCCTTGATCTTGGACTTCCCAGCCTCCAGAACTGTAAGAAGTAAATATTTATTATTTATAAGCTGTCCAGTTAAAAAAAATAAAAGTATAATGAAACTTCTAACTGGTTGCCAATCTAATAGGTGAGAAATTGCATGTTAATGTAGATTGAATTTGAAATGCTTTCATTAAAATTATGTTCAATTACCTTTTCATTGTTAAAGGGTCCACTAGTATTACTTCTTTTCTTTGAATTATCAGTAAGAGTTGTTGGCCCATTTATCTACTGAAGTAATAGTTTCCTTTTGCGATTTTTTTAGGAGTGCTTCATATGTAGGACGATTAATCTTTCTCAGTGATACATTGTAAATATTTTGCTTTAGTTTTATACATTTCCTTCAACTCCATGACATTTTTTGTTCTGCAGAAGTTTCTTGTTTTCAGTTTTCTTGTCTTAAAGTTATCAATATTTATTTTAGACTTCTGGATATTGAGTCAGAGTTAGAATGGCTTTCTACAATCTAAGGTTACAGAATTTCCCCCTTCTTTTTGTTTGCACATTTAAATCTCAAATTCATTTAGAATTTATCCTCATGTCAATGGATGTATGAGTAATACAAACTTCTTTGTCCAAGTTATGATCCAGTTGTCCCAATACCATTTATGGAAACTCCATTTGCACCTCTCTGCTGATTTATCATATGGTACCCAGAAAGTTTTGGGCTCTTCTGGACTTTCCCATAGGTGTTTTATTTATTCAGTGCCTACTTTTTCACTAGACTATAAGTTGCTTCCAGGTGAGCTCTGTGTCTGCTCTGTTTTGCCTGGGGCCTCAGAGCTTAGAACAGCATCTAGTACATAGCAGGTACTCAACATATATCTGTTGCATTTGAGAATGTTTATGAAGTTCTAGGCTAATGTTTCCCTTTTTCCCACAAGTAGGCTTAAAGATGAGTTAATGTTTAATTTAATATCAGATATTTCACAGATCATGAAATGAAGGAATAGGTGATAAACAATATATAATATTATGTGTCTCATTAGAGGTACGTAACAGTTTCTCTTAAGCAAGATGTTAATTCTTAACCAAAACTTGATTCAATCTACGTATAGCAGGAGTCAAAGACTATTGAAATTTTACAACTAGATGAAACACTTTTATGAAGCACAAATAAGATAAAGCCAATTTTACATACAATAGACACTGGGACTTGGCAGGTACAATGTTCATTTCATTCTTTCATCCATTCCTAAATGAGCCTGGAGGTCCAAAATATCTAATAAGTTGCAATTTTTCTGGGAAGCATGATTTTGAAATGGAAGCAAATAATCTCGATAAATCTGAGCCTCGTTTGTCAGGTTCCCACATCTGCTTTTCAGTGCAACTTTACTGCTCTATGTTGATGTTTAATTTCGTTTGATCCCCACAACAATCATCCCAAGTAGGGCGTTCTCTCCTTTTTACAGAGGAGGCGACTCAGATATTTATATACTACAAGTGGTGATGAATTTGGGGATTTTCAAGCGTCTCAGGATATGTTCTCTACAAATGTCAATAATTTGCTGTATTTTAAAAGTACATTCTAGAATTATTGATACATTCAAATAATTTTATTCATTCTTCATTGGCAAAGCAGCAGCATGAAAAGCAATATAGTGTGAAACTTCAACAGGATGCAAATACATCTCAAAAATCAGATACCTTGAGAGAGTGAATAGCTAACTGAATGTTAAATAGCAACAGTGTATTTAGTAACAGTTTTAATGGATAAAAACTAAAAGCCAAAGATATCCCTCCTCTATTTAACAAGTGATGTTTTATTTCCCCTTATTATTAATTCCTTGTTATTAGGATAATTATTATATGTACATGTATACATATGTATGTGTGGCATTGTTTTTCTTTTTTTGAGGCATTAATTTAAAATTCTTCATTCTATGCAAAGCAAACCTTTAATAAAAGATTCTGTGATAGACGCCTTACTATACTGTTCAAAAGAAAAGAACTGGACTGGAATATAAAAGGTCTAGACTTAACCGATGTCAATGTGAATTCACTGTATTGTTACACCAATCAATCTGTGCAGTCACACAGCTTCTCTGGTTATCTGATACATCAAAAAAATAAGGGGAATTTGCAATAACATCTCTAAATATCCATTTAGGCTTTAAATAATCTAAAATCCTTTAATTCTATGGTCTGTATCTAAGCATACTTATGACTAGCCAGATACCAATTTTAACAGATGTATTTACCAGAACAAACAGTAGAGATTAAAAGAGCATCTTAATTTGTATAGCTATGACACTTTGCAAATCTAAAGACTTTACAAATCAAAAAATATCTATTGAATGAAACAGAAAGAGTTCTGTAAAAAAAACCTTCTGATTGATGAGAATATCCCAGGTCTATGGCATATTGTAACTATATACTTAATAGCTTTTCAACTGAACAACTTATAATCATTTGATTCTCTAAATAGAGTAAATCAATAAATCTTAACTTTTCCATGGAAATTGTCTATATTTTGTACCAGGTGTTAAGTAGCCATATCCCAGTAGTCTGAACAATACATTAAACAGTATAAATTTGGTCAGTGCCTCATTAAGAGTGAAAAAAGTTAACTCCATTTGACATGATGATGTTGTAAAGAGTTCTTGGAATCTGAGAGTTTAATTCCACTGGCATGTGCAGTCTGTAGGTTCCTGGAGAGTGTGCATGATTTCAGTGCCATTTCCTGAGCAATACAGAGGCACGGTCAAGTTTCGCACACCATTCTCGCGACAACACTTGCAGAATCTCAGATGGCTCTCAATATTGATGTTGTATATTGTAGCTGATGGGCATTTTCCATCACAAGATGCAACATTGATCTTTAAGGAGAGACAATGAGAAAAAGAAAGTCTTAACATGTTTTTAAACAGGTTATTTGATTCTTCTTCTCAAAAGTCATATGAAGGCAAGGCTTTCTTCCTCAGCACTTCAACTCTCAAGCTTCTGATGTTAGATGATTTCAAAAAATACTAGGTCAAAACTAAGTAACTTAGATCAGTGAGATATGTTCCATAGCAATGCTTAAGACAGCAATGCCAAAATCACTCGAAGTATGAAATGCGCACACATAACTAGACAGGTATATGAACTATGTTAATCACAATCTCCTGAGTCTATTGTAACATATTATATCATAGCTCAAGTAGATTGTAGAATTGGATAGGTCATATTAAAGGGGATAAAGTTAGAACTAGGATTATTTTTGGCGAGTAAAATTGCATAGTTAAGAAAATATGTAGTTAAATATATTGACGTTTAATTTCCATCTCTCTGGATTGCAATTATCATTCAGAACTGTTGATTAATTCTGCTAAAAATAATTCACATTTCATCACAAACAGAATATTTTAATATTAGAATGTAGGAATAATCTCAAAGTTAAGTATTGTAAGTGTTGGCACTTATTAGTGCTGTGACACATATACTTTGGGAAAAACACATGCCCTTTATGTAACAAATGATATTTTTCCACTTACAGAGCTTTGACTGACACAGTCTTGTCTCCTTATGATTGATTTAATGATGACTTTCTGGCATATTCTTTCTTCTCTTCTGCCTGACAAAATATAGAATGTATTTATTGAGAAAAGAGCCCATGTCAAATTATTTCGTAATTCAATTAAGCATATGAATATATTTAACATTGAAAGTTGATATATTTATATATATTTTATTTCTGTATTAAAGGATACTTAAAATTTTGCTCTTATATAATTTATTTTTAATATTGATTTCTACCTTCTAAATAGATTTTCTCTTATATTTCCTAGCTTTACACTTATCTCTTTATCTTATTGTTCTAGAATAATTTTCTTCATAAACCAAAATTATTCCACTTATGCTATTATGCTCCCATCAATACATGTGTGGTAAATATATAGATAGATAAAATATGTATTTATAATTCTAAAAATATAAAATAATTTTTAGAACTATGGTATGTAGAAGTAAATATACATAATAAAGCATCCATACATCTATATTATTAAGTTAAAAACTATTAGATTTAAAACTGAATTTTCTTAGTGGATATTAATATGAAATCATGCACAAATGTAACTGAATTATCAACCATGCTTAAATGTGTGGATGAGTCATACTATACTTGATTTTATGGCTCTGAAATGATTCCTTATCTTGTCAAATGAAAACACTTTGTATTAATTAATGATGTATTAATATGCCTCTGTGTGTGTGACAGATTTTTCCTGGACAATAAACCTAAGAATATTTCTTTAACACTGTATGATAGGGGATACAACCCCTGAATGAGCATACAAAAGACCAAGGTTCTTATTTCACTGTGACACTAACTTGCTTTGTCACTTTTTGGAAAGCCACTGAATCATTCTCCCGAGTTTCCTTATTTGCAAGACTGCAATTCAATCTCCAGTTTTCAAATAGAGTTAGCCACAAAATCTTTATTTCAATGCATGCTTATATGAAATCCCAATACGTAAAGTATATAAAATTTAAGCCACTCTGATTGAAGGAGAGATGGATGACAAAGATTGCCTGGAATTAAACTGTTTTTCTCAAGGTCGCTCTTGACCGTCAATTTGCTAAATTCAGAGGTCTCATCTAGTTCTCATCCTACTTGACTTTTGAGCAGCACTTGACCTAGTCCATCACTCTCTGCTCCTTGATACACTTCCTGCACTTGGCTCTGGTTTCACTTCCCTTCCATTCGTGGCTCCTCCAAAGTGTCCTAGTCCTCTTTTTCCTCCTTTCCCAGACCTCCCAATCACAGCTGAGGCTCCGTGTTGGTGGCAGGCTGTTTTGTCCAGGTGGTGTTTTCATTTTTTTATGGTTGCTTCGTTAGCCTTTCTATTCTCATAGAAGCTTAAGAAGAAAGAATAGTCAAGAAAGAAATCATTCTTATCATAATCTGTAAGGCACCTTGCCCTTTTCTTTCTATAACCTTCATCCCTGTGCTATTTCTCAGCTTTCAACACTTCACTCTTCCTGGCTGGCTTCCCAAGGACATTCACTCTCTGCTCAAATGACACTTCATCACAGGAGCGTTTCCTCAGCACTCACTTAAACTAGCAACCCGGTTGCTTCCACTCGCCATCCCTTTTATCCTGCACTACTTTCCTTTATGGCACTGATCACACGCTGACATAGAGTAAAGATTTATGTGCTCATTGCTCCTTGCACTCCTTGATGATAGGCACTAAGCATGCAGATGTTGTCTCATTCACTACTATAGTACCAGTGCCTAAAAAAGAGTGTCTGGTGCCTGCTTAAGCATTCAGTAAAAATCAGTTTGAGAAAGTCAATTCATTCAATGCATCAAATTGGGACAGCAGAATTTTATGTTGAGTTGGTTAAATTTATTTGTACCAAGAGGCATTTCCTATTCAGCCCTCAGAGACTTCACTGTAACACCTTTTGTTTAGCACAGTCACTTGGGTCGAGCCTGGCCACCCAAACGCAAAGACGGCAGGCCACGGTTCTCTGAAAGCAGAGCAGAAACTACTTCACAAGTCCTTACCCATTTGACAGGAGAAACGGAGGTGGCTCATTACTGTTCTTTAGCTTCAAAAAGCTTACCAGAATTAAAAGATCCTGGCCCAGGCACTGGGCAGCCCTGCATCCATCCCTGACTAGTGCCATCCACTTTTCTGAACCTTCATTTCCTCATCTGCAGGGGAAACCATCCCCGCCTCCCAATCTGCCTCCCATTGTGTTGTGACGATTGGTTGTAACACACTGTGCGCTTGTCTTCAGAGTGCGGCGGGCAACAAATGGTAGTAATAGAGTCAGTCACTCAGATCTTGCCCTGCCTGCTCTCAGATAACATAAAGGTACTCACTTCTCGAATCATTAACATGGAGCTGCAGAACCCGAGGTCTTAACATTGCAATATAATTTTTCCCTCTATCTCATAACCCCAGAAGAGTCCGGACTCAAAGGAATCACAAGGAACAAGAAGTGAAATCATGAGAATATAAATCTCCTTGGATTCTGTATCCTAAACTCCATTCCTTGCATTCCTGATACCATGACTACTGGATACACATTAGTTTACATTTGATTCAGAGCATACTGAGTCGAAAACTGCTTATGTTGAGAAAATGTTTGATTAGTATGTGTCTAAGAGCCCCAGTAAATTAAACATGAATAAGTGGCATTAGACTGTTCATAAAAATTCCAGCAATATAACTGTTATGGGTTGATAATGTCTTCCAAATATTCCAATGTATCTCAGAATGTGACATTATTTGGAGAAAGGGTCTTTAGAGATGTAATCGAGTGAAAAGGAGTTCAATCCAATAGGATTGGTATCCTTATAAAAAGGAAGAACCTGGATAGAGACACACATGCACGGGAAAACCCAGTGAACATGAAGACGGACATACACAAGCCAAGCAGAAGGGCCCGGAGCAGATCTCTCCCTCACAGCCCACAGAAGGAACCCATCCTGCCAACATCTCTGTTTTGAACTTCCAACCTCCCATACTGTGGGACCATAACCTTCTAAGTCACCCAGGACATGGTTTGTTGTGACAACAGGCACAGCAAACTAACACAGTAACAGATCAGATGTCAGTCTGGGCATGTCGCTCTTTCAGCTTGCTGCAGGTGGGGGGCTGTGGCCAGCTTTGGCTCGGCACACACTTGTGAATGAAAACTCCTAGCCTTGCCAGAGATCAAAGACACCACTCAGCCTCTGCCCTCTCTTAAACCTTACTTTGGCGATGTTCAGGGTGTGACAAGTGGTTCAGAAGCAGGCTGAAATCCACTCTGGAGTGGAATCCCAGAGCTCAGAGGAGGTCTGACTTGAATGAATCACTTAACCTCTCTAAGTTGTTAACATGGAGCTGCAGAACCCGAGGTCTTAACATTGCAATATAATTTTTAATATTGCATATACTGAGTACCTGAATACAACTAAATGTTAAAATGACATCTTTTTCTTTAATATTTCATTATTTAGAAAAATTTCCCACCTCTGAATGGCACTTGCCTAAGGCTAAATTAACAGAATTAAAATAAATGCAGAATCTATTTTAATGGAATTCTGTGAGGAGTAAATAGTGCACAGAAAACTTAAAAGAATTCCTGATTTAAAAGCTGTTACTATATTCAATACTAAAATTAATAATTATGTCATTTGTTTTTAATACATTTTAATATTCTGTTCACTATGACTACACAGCTCTGAACAGAAAAGACTATATTACATGTTTATGAGATTTAACCCTTCATGAAAGAAGTTCAGAAACCTCACTCGAGAGGCATGATAATTTCATCAAAGAACCCAACCCTACACAGTGGCATATTAACCTCAACTGGATTGTGCATTTTCCTGAGAGCTTCTCTGAGCAATTTAAAAATTACCGTCTATGCCAAGTTTCCTAAAACTCCCATGCTTACTTGACATAAATCCACAAACATTTTAAAAGGAAAAAGAAAATGTTTGCAGCAATACCCCTCTATTCTAGTTCAGTCCTTAAAATCATTAAAAATCACCATGAAATAAACTTTATAACTCAAACTACTATAAAATATTGCATGTACATTACTTCAGTTATAAAAACAATTATGGAAAGTTTTATATAAAGGATTTAAATATATTCATTAGTTGGCATTTCTCATATGTATTACACAGAACCACAGACTTGCTCAAATAGATTTGGAAACTACTGCCCTCTGCATGTCCTCACTGGGCTCACAGTGACCTCATCACAGCCTACTGCACCTGGTGAAGTCCACCATGCTCCAGGCAAGTCTGACATAGGGAGCTTTTAGACTTAAAACCTATTGAAATCCTATGCAATACATTCTGGGAAATGCAACAAAAAAGAAGTATCTAATGCTTAAATTAAAATTCATCTAAATTAAAACCATTTTATTCACACTCCGAAAGATAAAGACTAAATTAGAAAATAATCTACCACATATACAAACACATTCATTTAAAGAATATACATTATAAAATTTGTTTTCCCTCCTTGCATTATAAAAACTGAATTTTATGAGAAAAGTCATAATTACTATGAGCAGTTTAAACTAATCTATCAAATAAATGGATATAATATTTCCTCACTTACAGATCTTGCAACAGCCTTCATTATAAAGCTTTACAATCCCTTCATTCTAGGAAAAGAGAAGGAATAAAGTCAAAACTCACAGTGTTCATTCATTTTCTCTTAGACTGGAAATATTTTTATTAAATATTTTTATTAAATATCAAAGATCCTTTATAGGAAAATTATTGGAATTTAATCACGTATCCTAATAAGAATTTCTTTGTTTTTGAAATTAGACACAGATGTTTTGTTTAAAATTTTGTTCTTTCTTCATTAGTAATGTGAAAAATAGTGCAAAAAATTTTACTTAAAAAACACATTTTAAATATCACAAAAAATTCCTTACCAAAGCAGAGTACTCTAAATAGAAACCATTCATTTTTTTTCAACTGCTTGAAATAAGCCGAACGGTATGAGACTAAATGATTACCTGAGTACAACTAAATGTTAAAATGACATCTTTTTCTTTAATATTTCATTATTTAGAAAAATTTCCCACCTCTGAACGGCACTTACCTAAGGCTAAATTAACAAAATTTTATTGATTATCTTTGGGAATTCTCACAGTAAGTTGCTAATTGCTTTTGGTAACTTGCTAATTACCATTCACATAAAAGATAATTTATTTTACAAAAATGAATCCAGAAATAAGTGATGCCTAAGATTCTATCTAGACCGGAAATGCCATTACTTTAGTACATATTTTATCCAGCTAGACAGCCAGTGAGATGACCATCAGCACTAAAAGGGCACATCTGGAAAAAAATAGTCAATGAGACTATGCTATTTCTCCACCCAAAAAAATATTGCCTCACAAAACAGAACAAAGTTTACTTTTCCTTAGAGACTATTATCTCCTACATAATTAAAAGTATGAATAATCTTGTTAAAAAATTGTATCAGATTCAAAAATCTACCGGACTCTGCTCTGAAAGAATAAGGAATTGAGAGAGCAAGACTGAAGAATCCTAGGTGCTGCGATATGTACGGAGTTTTGTGGTGGTCTGTGCTCAGCGAAGCTAAGACCAATTTAACGTAGGCCAGCACGCATTAAAAAATGAATGACAGCTAAATCTGTCTGCATGTTTAAGAAAGAGAAAATTGGCCAACCTCTGATTGATTGGTCTATTCATCCATATTGAAAGAGAGGCAGATCAAATTATTTTTCAATCATCTTTTGATCTGCATATTAAAACCCCAAAAAAGCAGAATGCCCTGAGATAGCATTGTCAGGGGAGATCAAAACTATTTGGAACAACATATATAAGTCAAAGTGGCAAACTGAGGAAACAGAGCCTTAATGTATACATAAAAATAAAACATTCACCAGAATAAATAAGCCACAAAAGCAAAATGTGTATACGAAAACATGTTAGTTATTGTCTAATTATATGATACAACAAATTCCCTTAGATACAACAAAGTACAAACCATTTTGCATTCAGTCTCATTGAAAGGGGGACAGACCATACTGTAGTTCAGAATCATTGTCCCCTCATCAGTCTTAACACATTCATATGTGGTACAGTTATAGTGCCAGGTACTCCCCTCCTAAAAATAAAACAGAAAGTTACTGATTTCCTTATTAAAAATCTGCTGGGTTTCTTAAGAAGAACATTTCCTGTCCTACTGAATCAAAAGTCATATCAGGATGCAGAGAGCTTCCTGTGACATAAATACCCATCTGGAAATATCCCCAAGTTTATCTAAAATGATTAAAAATACATGTACGTTGTGTGCGTGCATGTGTGTATATGCATGTTTGGTTTCATGCTAGCACTAAGGTGTAAGTGTGAAATAAAGCAATAGGGAGGAAAGAAGTGAATAGGTGTCTGTTTCCACTATGAAATTAATTATCCAATTTGGCCAAATGTCAAAGGTCTGGCTCTAATATTCCCTCACTAATTAAAAAACAACAAATCATATTACTTAGTACACCTCCTTTCTTGAGGTTTGTTTATTCTTCCTTCCACTCCCTTAACACCAAAAAATTTAAAGAATCTTTGGATGACAGTGATTATTGACTTATGACTCTAGTCTTCCATACCTTATGGTTATTTTAAAAGTTATTCTCATTCTTTTAACAAACTGTTAAACATAATAACTTCATTTCTTATTTCAGAATTCCTATTTAGAGAAGAAGTCAGTTGAAGAATAATTATTATATAATTATTAGGCTGTAATTGATATATATTTTTATTTTATAACCTGCATTTTAAAATGCTAATCCAACTCTGGCTTGAAGATTCCTTGTTGACCAGTAAAGAATTCTGAGGAATTTCCTTTTCTCTAGATTCTATTTTAACTTATGAATTTATCTTCATGTCTTCTATGAACCTCAACTGGAAAAGATTTACAAGCCAAGGTCTAAAAGAAGATAAAATATTCCAACTCAAATAGTAATTATAATAATCAATTCAAATAGTATTATCTGAATTACCTGAAATAAAAAATTAGCTGTTCTACAGGAGTTAGAATTCTAGTAACTGAAGTTTATCTTTGAAAGAGCCAAGAGTTAACAATCTTGGCATATATGTACCTATAGTGCATTACTTGTTATGTTCTCAAAAAATACTCAGAACATAATTAAATCTTTTATTTAAACTTCAAGGCTATCACTATGAAGTACTAATTAAGTACACCAATGGTTCCTGGGTTATTGACATTTATACAGTTTATGGTGCTCTTTTACTAAAGTCCCCAAATTACTATGTTTTAAAAAATAGTCTCTGATTCCTTTTCTCTCACTGATACCTATGTCTACATCATTCTATAAGCTTCTGTTTTCAAAATGCCTTATTTAAATAAATGCATCATAAAACAGAAATATTGCTAGAATAAAACAGGTAAACAGTAACAACACTATTTAGATCAATAACAATGTTTTGTACATAATGTGAAACAATAGGCTATGGCACAAGAAGATAATTGTTCATCTTTCTTATTTAATAAAATGCAAAAAATGAAATCTGATTTTCTTTTGGGTCGGTAAAGAATCCCATGTAATTAACAACATAAGAAATAAGACCTCCAGATAATTAAAGTATTAGTGGAAAAAACTTAAGGCTGGCAATACATTGGTACTACCTCCAGGTAATGTAAATTATAAACTTGATTTGTGACCCTCCTAGATCTGATAACATCACTGACAACAGCATTTAAATTACAAAATTCCCTTCTTCTAGGGAAGGAGAAGTTCAGTCTGCACACCCCTGTAGAATTATTATGAGTTAATGGAAGAATTCTGAATAATTATTTTGGTTTTGGTGGGAAGCTGTGGTGTAGCTTTAACAACTCTTAGGATCTTCTTTTTTGTTGTTGTTATTGGCAAATATTCTAAATCTTTTCTCTTATTTGCTCTCTGAAATCTTCAATACCTGAAATAATAAAGTGCTAACATTTTGAAATTCAGATTTCTATTAAAATCCCTCAGTTCAAATGAGTGGATAAAATAATATTGTTTTCTCCTTTGTTCTAATGATTGGAAATCAGCATGTCTCACATCTGGAAAAATAAAATGAGGATCTATGATAAAATATTTTGAGAAACAAGTTAAACATCTTTACAAAAGGAATGATCAGATACTTTAAAATGTAGCAAATCTAACTATGTGTCATGTGTTGTGAGTGTGCTGTATATGGGTGTATTTACTGCATATAGAACCCAGTGTGTGTGTGTGTGTGTGTGTGTGTGTGACTTTTTCAAACTTACCTGACTTAACAAATGTTTTCAGAAAATAGCAGAGAGCTCCCCTCCAAAGAACTTATTTTAGGAACTAAGGAATTCATACCTCATGTATAATTGATGTTCCATTTTCCATTTGAAATTTGCAGGATATGTTTTTGCAAGTACCACAACAGTCAAAATCACTTGAAGATGGAGTATATACCTGGTGCTGGGTATCATGATAATATATTGAATTAGCCACACACCATTAACAATGCTTTTTATGAAGTTTGTAGAAGTGCTTCTGATATAATTCTGTGTTCTCTCAGAACACCTGTAAGCATTTCTAAGGTTGAATTTGAGGTACTTCAAATAATAATTGACTTTATATAGCTGTATTAGAAGTGAAGCAAATGCTAACCTTTACATTTAGCAGCAAAGATTCTTCAAGCAGGTATAACCACCTAGGGTTAAGCAAACTGTACAGATAAGAAGACTCTTGAAGCCTGAAGCTCAAGTTCATACATAGGAAAAGGAAAATCTGCATTACATAAATATATTATACAATAATAGATTATTTAAAAACTATTCAAGTGTATATTTTTAACTCTGGAGTATTTGCTAGGTTAAATTCTGTAACTGCCATTTGAAGATAATTAACTCGCCGGAATGATTTATAAAAAATACTTACAACATCACATTCTTTTGAACAATTCACCACTGCAAAATTCAGAGTGTGAAAACCTGTATAGTTATCTTTGTCTTCCAGACACTCTACTGTGTTACAAAAGTTCCGTTCCAAATCCTTTATCATTGATTGGCCAGGATTCAATACTGATACTTCTTGAAATACACACACATCGCCTTTTTCTAAGAAAAGAAAAATAGTTAACAATAAGTACTATATCGAATTTTTTGTAGGTCAATTATTGGAACTTTTATTTAAGTATATGTTTGCATTGTGATGTGCAATTTTTTCAAAACCAATGAAGTTTTTTATATATTGCTAATAACTCAAGAGTTTATTTAATAATAAATGTAACACATTTATTCCTTAACTGAAAATGAGACTCAAACTCAGTGTAAACTCAACTGCTATTTACTCTTTGAACTTCCTCCAAAAACTATACTTTATAGCAAATTCCAGAATTTTTGACTTAAATGATCAAACTACTTGTTATTCCCTCTTCTGGAAAAATAACATGACAATATTGGGGAGTGGATACAGATGGAGGCAAAAGCTAAATTAATATTAGTAGGTGTCTCCCTCATTTGTGGAGTATAACAGTGAGGCAAAACTGAAAGAACAAAATGGCAGCAGACTCAGAGACTCCAAGAATGAGCTAGCGGTTACCAAAGGGGAGGGGTGTGGGAGGGCGGGTGGGGAGGGAGGGAGAAGGGGACTGAGGGGTATTATGTTTAGTACAGATGGTGTGGGGGATCACGGGGAGAACAGTGTATTACAGAGAAGGGACATAGTGGATCTCTGGCAACTTGCTGCACTGATGGACAGTGACTGCATTGGGGTGTGGGTGGGGACTTGATAATATGGGTAAATGTAGTAACCGCATGGTTTTTTCATGTGAAACCTTCATAAGAGTGTATATCAATCATACCTTAATAAAAAATTTAAAAAATATACTAGTAGGTATCTTCTTGATGTGATCATGAAACATTTCATGGCTTTTAGCTTATTTTGAGAGAAAAATTTAAGTTTAATTGTGTTGTAAAATAAATAATCATGTAAATCCTACTGCATGATGAAGGTAGTTGATACAATGTGTTGCCGTATCTCTAAAGGTGGCATATTAGGGTAGGCTAAAACAGTGATGAAGAATTCAGCTCAGAAGATCTTTGTAAAGGCCTTGCCAACACTAAATTCAAGCCTTGTTGCATATAAAAATGCAAAAAAGTTTCAAGCTGTTGAATAAAAGTTCTATTTTCTATTTACCAACTAATACTTAATACAAAGATTTGTTATTTCATAGAAAAGTACCTCTATGCTTTGCACAGTTAACATCATAATAATAAAACATTAAAATATCTCACTGTTGGATATCTATGTTTTTAAAAATTAAAAATATATATTAAAAAGAACCCTAGCATCCACTTTAAATTAAAAGAAGCCTCTGAAAAAAAATTAATTTTTCTGTCCATTTATCAAATTTCTCAGAATATTTAGATATGTTACAAATGAGGAAACTGATATATAATAGTGTATTTTATACTCAAAAACATAAATAACTTAAAACATGCAATATATCTTGAAGGAATGAATTTTAGATTTATTAATAGTACCAACAGATACTAATAATATTAATCATCATTAAAGTTATAAAAAAATATAGTTACCACAGAGATATCGTACACATCCACAGTCACTCTGAAACCTAGGGTCTATTGTAGTAAATTCTCCCTAATAGAAATACATGATTATTATTTGACTTTTAAGTCTTATTACATGACAACCCTAACAGAAAAACATACAAAATAACATTGTTAGTTACCATATAGCCAGACACATACCAGGTGCTTAATAAATATTTGATAGAGAATAGGCTTTGATTAACACAGTGGTCATTTAATTAGCAGTCCATGGAAAAAAGTCACAATAAACATTGTGAGGGATCACTTATTCTCTATAAACTTAAATTTCCTTATCTGCTAAGTGAGTGAAGGTGGATAAGAGGATCGTTACGGTCTGTCCTAACTTTAAAATACTGTTTGATTCTGAGTTTCTAAAGAGCAATTGGAGATACAAAAACACTTGCTAGTCCTGGAAACTTGGCTTGGTGGAAATGTTCTTGATCTGTTTCTGTGGGGGTGAGCCAGGTTCTGATGTCCGCACCCTAGCAAATCTGCTACAGCATATAAAGCAAGAGCAGAAGAGCAGAGTATAGCGATTAAAAGCAGACGCAGGAACAAGACTGCCCTGGTGTGGCTCCTGGCTGACACCCACATGGTGCTGCATAACATTCGGCTGCCCGCACACTGCTGCGATAACCACCGCTTAAACCTTGACCTGTCAGGAGTGGTAGAGTTCCTCTCTCAAGGGTAGGACCAGACTCAAAGTTTCCAAAACTGCATTTCAAATGCCAACTTCTCCTGAGTCCATTTAATTTTCATATGGTATCAGTAATAAAACTAATTTGATTCTTGACGCATAAAAGAAAAGATTCAAGTAAATTCATAGTAATATATGAAAGACACTCTTCCCTACAAACTAAAAATATCTTAATTTTTATAGTGCTTTACAAGTAGTACAGTAGTTCCATAAACAGTAACTCATCTGACATTCTATGCCTTTTAATCATACACTGGGATTGGCAATAAAACGTTAGAAATGTGGAGTTCAAAAATAATAATAATCAAATTCTCCCACTTTATTAGTTACTCTGAACGATTGGAAAAGGAAGTGTTAAGGGGTTGCACTAATGCTTTTAAGTCACTTGCCCATCTTTTTTAATAATTAAAGCCACAATGTCCTCTGTGTCTTCTCAAGCTAAGGGTTAAGTCTTCCATTCTTCCCTTCTATACTTAATTCTTCTGAGATTTTATCCTCATATTTAGTTACACTTTCATTTGCATAAGTACTCAATTTCACATAGAGGAAATAACTCCTTGATTGTCCTGCCAATACTGAATATTATATTAAATATGGTGGTATTTTTTTCACTCCCAAGCAAGCATCCCTCCCCTTTAAAATAGCAGCAAAGTCACCTTAGGCTGTTTCCACTTTTGGCTGCTATGAGTAGCGTTACTGTGAACATCCACATATAAGCTTTTGTATGGATGTGTGTTTTCATTTCTCATGGGTATACATACCTAGCAGTGGAATTGCTGCAGCATATGGTGACTACATACTTAAACTCCTGAGTAGCTACTAGGCTGTTCTGCAGAGCAGCTGGACCATTGAACTTTCCCACCAGCAGAGTAGGAGAAGTCCAGTCTCTCACACCCTTGCCAACATGTATTATTATCTGTCTTTTTAGTGGATGTGAACTGTTATCTCACTAGAGTTCTGATTTTCATTTCACTTATACTTAATGATAGTAGGGATTTTTTCATGTGCCATTGACCCTTGTATACCTCGCCAACGCAATGTTATTGAACAGTAAAAAGGAAAGAAGTACTGATACATCCTACAACACAGAGGAACCTTGAGAACCTTATGCTGAATGAAAGGAATTGCAAAAGGCCATATATTATATAATTCCACTTATATGAAATATTCAGGATAGACAATTCTATAAAGAGAGAAAGTAGACTGGTGACTTTCTAGGGCTGGGCATTTTAGAGGGAAATAAGGAGTGACTGCTAATAGGTACAGAGTTTCTTTTGTGTGATAAAATTGTGCTACACCTGATTATGCTGATGGTTATACAATCCTGTGCACATAATAAAAAACATTGACTTATACACTTCAAATGGCTGAATTGTATAGTGTATGAATTATATGTCAATAAGACATTAAAAAAAGAAATACTGCAAAGGCCTAACATAGACCTTAGGTTGAAATATATTTGTTGTCTATATGCTAATAAACTGAAAAATATATCACCTTAGGCACTGAAACAACAATTTATCAATCTTTCAGAGTATCAGGAACAATGGATCAGGCCACTGCTTGTGTGGAACCATGAATGTGAAAACTAAGTCACCACACGTGGAGAGTTACATATACTCGGCAGGATGTACAACGGTAATGACGCTACTCCTTACGTTCCGTGTGCCTCGCATAGCGCTAGTACATAATATAATAGGCACTCAGTAGGTGTTTGGAGCATTAAGTTAATGTTACGTTTTGACTAGTAATTAATAATCAGAGATTGAAAGTTGTTGGTGAAGGAGAGAACATAGGGAAAGGGTATGTGGAGAATGGTAGAAACTCATAAAAAAAAAAATAGAAAGACAACAGGAGAGGGAGGAACAGACAGGAGGGTGTTGGTTGGTGGTCAAGGCCAAAGCCAAGATAGGTATTAAAGGCACCAAAAGAAAAAAAAGGTGACACCAAACCAAGCTTGAAAAAGGAACATAGAAGCTTCTACCCAAAGAAACTTCAAAGGATGCAGAACACAGGAGGCAGGCAATCCCGTGGGAGGAAGGGCTAGGCTTGTATTGCTATGGTGGAAGTCATTCAAATGCCTGGGGAAGTTGTTACCTCTCTCAGGCCAGCAGGAGAGCTCTGAAGGTGCCTGGGTGCCCGTGGGATCCCAGGATCTCTGCTCTCAGCTGCTCCCTGGCCACCAAAGCGCTTATGCAGGGACCCAGGACTTTGGGCTCTTGGTGTGCAAGCCTTATACTCTTAAAAGATTTTATAGATTCTCTCTCTTTCCTCCCTCTTTCTCCTGCTTTTTTTCTTCATCCTCTTCCCCCTCCTCTTTCTTAATTTTCTTCTCTCTGCTTCTGTCTGTCTCTCTCACATAAACACACACACACCCACTGACACACATTTGTAAGATACATTACAAAGGGCCAGTCTTCCGCTATGCCCTCCTAGATTCTACCGGCCCCCTCTTCTTCTATACAGACCCGCCTTTCAAGGTCCTCATTCCTGAATGGCTGTCCTGGCTCTTGCTGACCTCCTTCCCTCTCATGTCTCACTGCCCTTACTCCACTACACAGAACAGCACAGCCCTCCAACACCGTTTCACCACAATGCCCGCACTGTGCGGGACCCTTTACACCTCTCATGATATTAAATCTCTACTGACTCCTCAGGTTAGCACTGTGTCTCTTCAAGTTTCTGGCAGCATGATCACACACAATTAGTTTTCAACAAATGGTATTTGAAAAAATAACTGGAAAGAATCAATCAAACCTAAACTCCTCAATTGTGCATTTAAAGCCCTCCCCAATACACCAGCCGAATGGACAGTTCGTCTCTCACTATCACTCCTTCAGCTAGCTTTTCCTCAAGGCAAGAGAGAGGTCACTACCCTTCAACATGCATATCACCTCACCCCTTGTACATTCATTCACATTCATACTAGCCTTGTCTAGAACAGCTCAACTCCTTCATCCATCATTCTTCCGACCTTTTACTGATGGCCACCTTCCTTGGAAAGTTTCCCATGACGATCTCTACCTGTGGTTAACATTCTGAATCTTGAGTTTATTTTGTAATAACAATGATAGTTAATACTCATTAAGCCCTCTCTGTGCATCAAATACTATCTAAGAATTTGATTTATTTTATTTTGTTCATATGATAAAAGTATTGCTATTATTTTTATATTATAGATGAGGAAAGTGAGGCACAGCTAAAGAGAGACAAAGCCAGGAATAGAAACAAGGTAGTCGCACACTTGCTTTTGTTCTTGTTTCAACTAATGTCTTGGCTACAGTCTGCAAGGGAAATGAAAAAATTAAGGCAGAGTAGAAAGAACAAAGGAATACACGCAAGTGGTTTGAGTCTTGAAGATCTCGGTCCATCATTTACTGTCTCTCTACTGATTTCCTTACTTATAAAATGAGACAAAAGTACTTTGTGAAGATTCAATTAGATAAGGTACTGATCATGTTATCCTGAAGGATTACAATATCATAATTCTACTATTTTCTGAGAGAATGTGCATATAATGCATACAATAATAATCAGATGAGAATTTTTAGGGAAGTTACTTATACATTCTATGCAAACCATAGATGATAATCATTACAGTAAATGTTGGATTAATGGTTTTTTAAAACACAATTTAATTGATATGGCATACAAAAATCTGTCCATAATATATACAACTTGATCTATGTGGAGATAATTATATATCCATGAAGAGATCACCACAATCCATGCCATAGACCTATCCAAAAGTCTCCTCCCACCTTCTTATTTATTATTATTATTATTGTTATTATCATTATCACTATTATTATTTTGTGATAAGAATACTTAACAAAAGATTTTCCCTCTTGGTAAATTTTTAAGTACAGTGCAATACAGTATTGTTAACTGCAGCCACTATGCTGTGCGGTAGATCTCTTAAGACTTATTTGTTTTGCATAACTGAAGCTTTTTAACATGCTTTTTAAGCAAAACAATATATCCTAAGAAGGGTTATATTACCTTAAAATGTGTCTCATTTATTCCCTAGAATAAAATCGTTTTAACCTGGAGTCTGAATGAGCTCTCTAAGGATACACATTGTTTGAGAAGAAGGAAAAAGAAAATGTGTTTGTAGAAGAAAACATGTCTTCTCTGATAAGTAGGGTCAGGAATGTATTGTCTTTCTCAAGCTTTATAGACATATTATGAAGGTAAACATTCCAAGATAATAAAGACTTATGAAGCACCATGGACTGCATTAATGGTTAAACAAGTGACGGCAGAGTCATACTTATTATTTCTAAAAATTAAATCTTTGGAATTTCTGTAAGGTTTCCATGTTCAGAGATAACTCTTAAGAAGGTACAGTTACATGTCCATGTCCCACCTCCTCTAATAGATGCATCATCAGTGTACTTTCTTGAAGAGTCACAGGAGAACTCTTTCAATATTGAGATTGTTTTCTCAGTATTTTGTTTCATTTTAAGATCAGTGTACTTAAGTAGACATAATTCTAGTAGATTCAGTCACTGGTAAAAAAAAATACCATATTGTACTTTCTTATCTCAAGTAAATATAAAGATTTGACTGCTCACCAACATCAGAGCACATTCTTTTAATCTACTTCAGTATAATTTAATGGGGATAATTCCATTAACTCTGAGAAGGACTCAGAAATAAGGGGCATAAAGGAAGAATAAACAAATTTAAGTAACATGACAAGTAATCAAAATGTGTGTTCTTACCACTTCACAAGTTGGCATAACAAGGTTTTCACAGCTACATTCTAAAAGGTAGAATCAACAAATTGATATTGATCAGAATGCATTCATGTGTTGCAATAAAACTTTAAAGTATGAAAATTACTTACCACAATGCCATATTGGACAACACTGACCAGATATATTTTCTTTCACAAGTTTCATATCTTCTGCACAGTTGAGTAGTGGCATAGGACAAAGTTTTGGCTCACAAACTAAATAGAAAAATTACACGGATAAAGATCAGCTTCTTGCCAAAGCTAATTCTTACTACCTGCAGTTTGGTTCAGAGCCATTATTGACGTTGGGCATGGGCTTGTATCTCCCCAGCACTACTCCTCCCGCCCCCCATTTGCCGTGTGTTGGTGAGGACAGAACAAGATGGTCTACAGCAAGTACAATGACAGCACAATTGGGACAATCCTAAATCCTATTTAGGAGAAGAGCCCTAAGAAATGGCAGGTGTGCAAGAAGAGAAAGGACATTGAGAAGACATAGAATCACCTGGATACTTTGAAATTCTAAAATGATGAAAAAAGTCATAGCTAATCTATTTTTGGAATTAATGATATTATCCAAGAAGAGATCTTAGAGATATGAAAACATTACATATGTCTATAATATATTTTATATGCTAGAATTCAACTAAGGTCTGACATAACAGTACAACTAAGATGCATTCAGCTTCTGAAATGTCAGGCATATTTAAATACTTCAAAATATTAAAAAAATACTTACCACAGGAATACTGAGGACAACAGTAGTTCTTTTGTTCTTGTTTCAACTAATGTCTTGGCTACAGTCTGCAAGGGAAATGAAAAAATTAAGGCAGAGTAGAAAGAACAAAGGAATACACGCAAGTGGTTTGAGTCTTGAAGATCTCGGTCCATCATTTACTGTCTCTCTACTGATTTCCTTACTTATAAAATGAGACAAAAGTACTTTGTGAAGATTCAATTAGATAAGGTACTGATCATGTTATCCTGAAGGATTACAATATCATAATTCTACTATTTTCTGAGAGAATGTGCATATAATGCATACAATAATAATCAGATGAGAATTTTTAGGGAAGTTACTTATACATTCTATGCAAACCATAGATGATAATCATTACAGTAAATGTTGGATTAATGGTTTTTTAAAACACAATTTAATTGATATGGCATACAAAAATCTGTCCATAATATATACAACTTGATCTATTTGGAGATAATTATATATCCATGAAGAGATCACCACAATCCATGCCATAGACCTATCCAAAAGTCTCCTCCCACCTTCTTATTTATTATTATTATTATTATTGTTATTATCATTATCACTATTATTATTTTGTGATAAGAATACTTAACAAAAGATTTTCCCTCTTGGTAAATTTTTAAGTACAGTGCAATACAGTATTGTTAACTGCAGCCACTATGCTGTGCGGTAGATCTCTTAAGACTTATTTGTTTTGCATAACTGAAGCTTTTTAACATGCTTTTTAAGCAAAACAATATATCCTAAGAAGGGTTATATTACCTTAAAATGTGTCTCATTTATTCCCTAGAATAAAATCGTTTTAACCTGGAGTCTGAATGAGCTCTCTAAGGATACACATTGTTTGAGAAGAAGGAAAAAGAAAATGTGTTTGTAGAAGAAAACATGTCTTCTCTGATAAGTAGGGTCAGGAATGTATTGTCTTTCTCAAGCTTTATAGACATATTATGAAGGTAAACATTCCAAGATAATAAAGACTTATGAAGCACCATGGACTGCATTAATGGTTAAACAAGTGACAGCAGAGTCATACTTATTATTTCTAAAAATTAAATCTTTGGAATTTCTGTAAGGTTTCCATGTTCAGAGATAACTCTTAAGAAGGTACAGTTACATGTCCATGTCCCACCTCCTCTAATAGATGCATCATCAGTGTACTTTCTTGAAGAGTCACAGGAGAACTCTTTCAATATTGAGATTGTTTTCTCAGTATTTTGTTTCATTTTAAGATCAGTGTACTTAAGTAGACATAATTCTAGTAGATTCAGTCACTGGTAAAAAAAATACCATATTGTACTTTCTTATCTCAAGTAAATATAAAGATTTGACTGCTCACCAACATCAGAGCACATTCTTTTAATCTACTTCAGTATAATTTAATGGGGATAATTCCATTAACTCTGAGAAGGACTCAGAAATAAGGGGCATAAAGGAAGAATAAACAAATTTAAGTAACATGACAAGTAATCAAAATGTGTGTTCTTACCACTTCACAAGTTGGCATAACAAGGTTTTCACAGCTACATTCTAAAAGGTAGAATCAACAAATTGATATTGATCAGAATGCATTCATGTGTTGCAATATAACTTTAAAGTATGAAAATTACTTACCACAATGCCATATTGGACAACACTGACCAGATATATTTTCTTTCACAAGTTTCATATCTTCTGCACAGTTGAGTAGTGGCATAGGACAAAGTTTTGGCTCACAAACTAAATAGAAAAATTACACGGATAAAGATCAGCTTCTTGCCAAAGCTAATTCTTACTACCTGCAGTTTGGTTCAGAGCCATTATTGACGTTGGGCATGGGCTTGTATCTCCCCAGCACTACTCCTCCCACCCCCCATTTGCCGTGTGTTGGTGAGGACAGAACAAGATGGTCTACAGCAAGTACAATGACAGCACAATTGGGACAATCCTAAATCCTATTTAGGAGAAGAGCCCTAAGAAATGGCAGGTGTGCAAGAAGAGAAAGGACATTGAGAAGACATAGAATCACCTGGATACTTTGAAATTCTAAAATGATGAAAAAAGTCATAGCTAATCTATTTTTGGAATTAATGATATTATCCAAGAAGAGATCTTAGAGATATGAAAACATTACATATGTCTATAATATATTTTATATGCTAGAATTCAACTAAGGTCCGACATAACAGTACAACTAAGATGCATTCAGCTTCTGAAATGTCAGGCATATTTAAATACTTCAAAATATTAAAAAAATACTTACCACAGGAATACTGAGGACAACAGTAGTCTGTGGTATTAAGATCCACAGTGAGAAATTCCCCATCAGTACATGCTGGAATAGGTGCAGTGCAAGATTCACAAACTAAAGGCAAAACAGAAACCGGGAGTCACAGCTGAGCTACAAACAAACTCACGATGAGTTCAGATTAATATACACACACAAAAATCACCATAAAATGTATCATGTTTATTGAAAGGACAAGGAAAATAAGGCTTTTACAGACAGACTCCCTTGTTTGGTCATAAAAACAATACGACTACCTCAGGACATCTTGCTTTATGCTTTCCAAGCATGGGACATAGAACACCATCTTAGCAGAAATATAGGGCATTAAGAATTAAAATGTCATTGATGGATTTAAGTTTTCTTAACTCATTACCCTTGGTTATTTCAGCTTACGGATGAGCAGCGTAGTACGCACCTGTCCTTTTGGGCTGTTCTGTAACCCTGTCCCAACTTTGAAAACAACTCTCTGAATGACCTTGAGGAAATGTCCCACCCAGACAGACTTAGAGTGACTCTTACTTAATAAAGGTGTCTCACTTTTGTGGGTAAAAACAACCCACATTAGATGAATCAGAGTATTTTTCCATGGCATTTGAACCATAAATAGAGGCACACCGGGACAGGAAATGGATGACTTGACTCTTAGTGACCGTCACCTAGAGCAGCTGTTTCTTTCCTTCCCAGGTCTCAGCTCTTCTGCTTCATTGTGATCCTGTAATATCTTGATCCCCAAAGGCTTCCAGTAATCGGTTATGCTTAAGCTAGCCAGAAGCAATCCATTTTTACCATTTGCAAAAGAGCCTTTACTGATACAAAGAAACATTCTGATTTTCATAACATCTGAAACCTACATTAATCAAATCAGTCTTTGATATAATTTACTTGAAATAGAAACTAGAGAATTCTTTATTTTTTTATTTCCTCAGTTGATCAGATAGTATATATAGCTCCATATACAGTCATTTCCCAGACATCTTTCATTTGCACCATTCTCTTTTGACATTATCACATTCATATAAGATATTCAGGAAGTCCTATAATAGCTTAGCAGAGTCCATTATTTAATTGTTTCTTCAAGGAAAGCTAGGGCTAAGTTTTTCTCCAAAAAGAATTAGTGCTGGCCTTATTAAAGAAAAAGCCCAGCTTGACTATATTATCTTGACTATGTTTTGACTGATACATATAATCCTTGATAGGGGAAAGTAGTACTATTTTTAATAATTGTCATGAGTCATTTAAATGTCCTTTTTCAACTGTTCTTATTCAGTTCAATTCCTATGTCAGCAGAATATTGGTTAACATCCATCCCATGAAATTCACTTTGAATAAGAGATTTTCAATAGATCCTCCCTCTTTTTCCAGGAAATTAGTGCATTGAACACTCACTACAGAGAGGAGAAAAACAGCAAGGCTCTTCCTGTTGACTCTGAATCATGAATTGGTCTTCTCTGCATTCTGGTATTGAAATATTGGGGCATCTGAATGGGTCACATTCTGCAGAAACACAAAGATATTTGAAATTTTATACAGAATGAGATGATAAAATAAGTCGACGTATGGCTCAGTTCTCTTTAGAGAAATATATTTACATTTAGATATATATACATAATCCCAATATATATAATCCCAATGTGTGGAGAGGGGCATTTCCCATACAGCACCAAGCGATTTTCCCAGACACCAGCTGGTGTCTTACCATTTAACTCAATTCTGTTGCCAGGCACTGAGAGGTAGCATCAGATTCCCCAGGCTAAGGCTTGGTGCTACAAGAGTTCCCACTCCCCTAACTTCAGATGCCAGTTGCAAGGCCAGGTTGTTGCCTGTATCCCTGACCAACTGGCTATAAATCAGAGGTTCCCAAAGCCACTTCCTTGGATTTGATTAATTTGCTACAGCAGCAATTAGAATTTAGAGAAACATTTTCCTTACTAGATCATTGATTTGTTATAAAAGAATGTGACTCAAGAACAGCTAGATGGAAGAGATGTATAGAGCAAGGTAGGGGAAGAGCAGGGAGCTACCATGCCTTCTCAGAAGGCACCACTGTCCCCAATCTTGGTGGATTCATGAATCCAGAAGCTCTCCAAACCCTGTCCTTTTGGGTTTTTATGAAGGCATGATTAGCTAGGCATGATTAATTAAATCGTTGTCCATTGGCAACCCATCCATCCAACCTCCAGACCCTCTCCTCTCTTTGAAGGACATAGAGACTGCAAGTCCAACCCTCCTGTCACCTGATCAGCTTTCCAGGCAACCAGCCCCATCCTTAGATCACCTACAGGCTTTCCAGAAGTAACAGAACAAAAGACACTCGTCCCCCAGCATCATTGAGATCATTCTAAGGATTTTAGGAGCTCTGTGCCAAGAACGGGGTTAAAAACCAAATATATATTTCTTATCATAAATCACAATATGACACCTGCTATTTCCTATATATTTCTGCTAAGATTAAGGTCTTCAAAGAGTTAATTATCTAAATACATACATAATATATGAATTTAAAATTCACATATACATATATATTTATAACAAAATCGTGAGTTTAGGGAAGTTATCTTTAACAAGACAACTCCGTAATCTTTCATAATACATCATTTTCTTGCAGACACAAAGAATGAGAATCTAATCCACTTGCGTGAATGAACAGTGAGCCTCACTCTTGTTCCCTAGTTAATGACTCACCGCATTGGTACTGTGGGCAGCAAGAAAGAGGGCTGTAGCCAATGATCAATTTTTGACTATATGCACATGTTGGAATAGTAGCTTCACACAAAGTCATATCACATCCTGGAAATAAGAAACAGAAGCATTAAAATATCACTGAAAATAACTAAAATCTTGTGCCTCTAACTCAAAGCAGGGAAATGATTCTCACTATGCATGTTTTTACACAGCAGTTAAACCTGTTCAATTCACAAAATAGGTCATATGAGAAAAGGCAGCAGATTTAGGCTTATTTATTGTCTTTCACCCTTGATTGTCATATGTCAGAGATTCCTAGGTCCTTTCTTATCATGTATTACTGAATATTATCCATTGCTAATAGCCAGAGTTTTGCATATGTATTTGCCAAATCAATAAAACCACAATGAGGCAAAACTTGCTTTGAGAAAATGTAAATGATTTTTATGGCAGTACTTCTGTTGTTATCTCAAACCTTGCATGTTTTTTATACCAAGTATCATGCATACCCAGCTTTTGCACAGATAACATATTTTGTGCCATCAACTGATTCGGCCTGTATACGTACCACAAACTTCCTTTGAACAGCAGGTCAACTTATCAGTGATGGCTAGGACAACTTCAGCTTCTCGTTCACAAATGGTCGAGAGCTCTTCATCACAAACAGGTTCAATAGGAACAATGCTTCCATTCTCCAAACATTTATATAGGGCACATTCATCAATGCCGCCATTCCAAATCTCCCCAGCAGTGCGGGGCTGGTCTTCACTATCAGTACATGCTTAAAAAATTGACAGTGTTATATCTCTCATAACCCTGGGCACTAAAATAAATCAAGCTGTGTTGTTTTGATTTCAGACTGTGACTTGGCCAGCGACATAGAAATCACGTGATATCTATCTGTTCTTAGATTCCACTTTTCGTTCATCAGCTACTAGCTTACATTTTTCTTTAATGAAATTTTTGATGTAGTACACAGGTAATCTTTTTCCTTCCTACAACTATCTGCACATCCTGTTCTATGAATAAGATGATTTGTTAATTATTTTCATTCACTTTGTTTTGTTAGTATAATTCATTTGGCTTGTACAAACTCGGTAACATAAATTGAAATCAGTGTTAAAATATTAACTGTTAAAACTGAGTGGTATTACAAAACAAGATAGTTCCTGCCTTACATAAAGATTTTTGTCATATGGAAACTCAAATCATTTCAGCTTTAAAATCTAAATGTGGAAAGGAGGCAGTCAAACAGAATATTAGTGACTCCATCAGTTTCATTATTAAAGTTTTACTTTATGATAAATATGGTCCTCTAGTAATTCTTTTAGTGAATAATAAAATAAATATGTTAGAGCAGTGAACACCAATCTCTAGTCTCTAATGAATTTCTCTTATATTATACATTTTACCACCAAACCAATTTCACAGCTCCCTAAAAACAAACACAAGCATGCCTGTGTATTCCAAGTCTTCCACAAATACCTTCTTCAATGGCAGACATGAAATTATTTCTGAAATTATATATGCATTTCACTTTTGCTTGCTTCTTTTTTATTAGATTCATCTTTTCTTCTGACATAGTGATAAATGTCTAATAAAGTACTCTACTACAATTTTCTCAATTTTGCACTTTCTTCATCTGAAACCACCAGGGAGACAGTGTGTCAGAATAAAATGGCTTGAAAATGAAAGTAGAAATATTAAGTGTTTTCTCTCAGATAGTAACACTATCTGACACTTCTGAACAGCTTATTTTTCTCTAGGCACTGTTGCAAATCTTTGTATTATTTTATGTGTCCCCATACTAGCCTTATGGGATAAATGTTATTATTTTCCCCATTTTACAGATGTGTAACAGACTCATAGAGGTAAAGCTGAAATAATTGGGATTTCAATCTAGTCTACATCTTACACACTTAATTCTTAATCTGTCATACTATCACCCGGTCACTATAGGCACAGGTAGAAATTAAAACATATCACCAATGAAGCTCCTAATTTGGTAGCTTCAAATGGAATCATATTAAAAATCAAACTACAAACAAACCCATTTCCTTTCCAAAACCTAGGTTATCTCTGATCCATCCTTCTCAGAACATTTCTCCAAGATCTAAAAAGGTTTATTTATTTGCTGGATCTCTAAGGAGTCATTTTTGCTGCTTACCACATTCTTCCTCTGGGATGCACTGAGTTGACTCTGGCCGGTGGAGAATGGTTCCAGTTTTGCACACACAGTCTTCTCTTAAAATCACGCACGAAGAATGTCCATAGAACCATCTGTTCAGACATGTTCTTGCTTCACACGTTCTCACACAGGGTTGATATTCCTTCCCCTCTGGGCAACGCAGAGCTATGAATAATAGAGGACAGAATTTACTAGTGATAAAAGTAACCTATTTGAATTCTAGTAGAAGGAAGAAATGCCAGATTTCTTTCTGAAAATGAAATTTGCCCATTTCAATCCCTTCAAAGTCCATTTTTCGTTAATTCTGTAATCAGAAACCAGAAATCAAACAATCAATGGGTATTTTTAACATCTTCCAAGTGTCCATTATATAGTAGAAAAGTTCATCTGATTTATATCAAATACGTGTGACCAAAAAGTAGCCCAAATCTAGCGGACATAAATATAGACTCAATTATTATGAAGTTACTGCTCTGTGCAGTGAGAGATACAAGTCTGCTCAGCATAAGCACAGACATGCGCTTTAACTATCTAACTCAACTAAGTCATAAAAAAGAAAAATGCCACATGTGTAGGTGTAATCCTTCACTGCCAAAAGAAACTACCATGACTGAGCAGTTTCTAAATGATGTTTTAGAAAATTCTTGTGGATTATCCGTGACGTTAAAAAATCATGCTGTTAAAAAACGAACACGCACCTCTGGGGGAGCAGGGAGAGGAAAGGACAGAGGGAAAGACACTAGGACCTGTTTTATTTCTGAAGCAAGTCATCTGACAGGTTTGTGGTATAGTATTCTTTCTTTATGCATTTTACTCTTTTTTTTGTGGAGAAAATGAAATGTCATGTTTTATTTTGGAGCATTTTATAAGATTCATTTTGAAACTCTTTTACCATTGAATCCATTTAATCACTATTTCTTAAGTTAAATAATAAGATTTTCTATAAAATGTGCCCAGGATTGGTAAAAGGTTTAATACAAAAAGTGTTAGAACTTGATGAGAAAGAATGGACCCTACAGATAAAAGGGGGCAAAGAATACACACGGAAGAATGAGGAAACATAAACAGGTATTTCGATTTCTTTAATATATCAATATACTTTGCTAAATAATTTCTTATGGGCTAGACTTTCTTTTGTGAGATGAGGCCCATTTTAAACTCAGATCAGGATGAAAACAGAAGTTGCCACCATGGAGAGCCAACCTCTACCTTCTAGCTTACATTTACATGCATTTTATTCTTAGAAAATTATTTTGTGATATGAAAATGAAAAGAAAAAAGCAACTGCAAAAAGTGAAATTTTATTTGTTGGCAAATATTATTTGAAGTGTTCTACTCACAGCAATAATCAGGTGTTCTCCACTGAACACAGATGTCAAACTTGCTGCACAGAGCCACATATGCAGAAAGTGCGTCACATTCATAATTCCAAAAATAGGTATAATTGATCCACATCTTTTCACAAAAGTCCTGCGGTGAAACCTAGAGACACATTTTGCCTTGGGATAAATTATGCTGTCTTATTTTTCTGAACGCCCTAAAGTAGACTAAAACTATTTGGAATATCAAAGGATAGCAAGTTAATATTCATTATTGTTCTGCTTCGACATTAACTTTTCAAAACTTCTTAATATTGGATGTCACCTCTGACATTACAATATTTTTAAACACATTTTAGATAAGAGAAATATTTTCTGCACCAGTCTTCATAAATGTATCTTATAAAGATGGAAAAGAAACAGTATGCAGATCTATTTCTGAAACTACACTTTGGGTTACAATCATTTTTTCTATATACTGAATAAGATTCTGATATATTATAGATAAAATTGGAAGCTCCTAAAGCAGTCTATAATATGTGGTATTACTCATTAAGTAAGGTTATAAATGCTTCTCAAAGAATTATATTAATATTGAACATTGAATAATTTATATAACTTAACATGTCTTAATTTAATTAGAGACTCATTTTTTTCCTACAGATTTTCTTTCATTTTGAGCTAGAGATGTCTGAAATCTAAATACTTGAACTTGTAACAACATTCATTCCAGTTTTTCTCCATTCATTTATTCAGCGAACCTAGTAAGCACCTGTATTTGGATGCTACATTATGACACAGGTTCAAGGGTGAGATAAAAATGCTTAGTAGTTTTCATATCTTATCTTTCTTCTTCAAGGTCCATTATTATAAAAACCAAGATTACTTCCCTTTTAGTCTCCTTTATTGAATATCCTCAGTTTCCAACCACTTCACGTTGTACTGAGTACCTCCTACCTGTCAAAGCCAGAGAACACTGATACTCTAACCTTCCCCAGGCTCTCAGAGGAGGACATGAATACTCCCTGTTTCTTAAAACCCTGTCCTTTGACTTTGAGGAGCTGCACTCTACTATCTGTTCATCTGTTCATTGTCATCCCCACTTCTGCCTTTCATTCTGAGACTTTGGATGCTGGATCCCATTCTTGACAGTCTTGCTTATTCATTGTAAATGCTTTACCTCGACTCACCCATTCCCAACATTTTTACCACTATTTTGGGCACTTATGCTTCAATTTCATCACAAGTTAGTTAATACTAAGCCTACTACTGAAGATTGCTTTGAGCTAATACATGAAAAATATACAGAACGGACTCTGGTCCATCATATATTATTGTTATCTTTAAACTTCATATTCTAATAACTCTGCAAACCTGATCTCTGGCTTCAACTTATCTCCTCTGAGCTCCAGAATTTTTTTCTGAGTTTTTCTGGTGTCTTTGCTTTGAAATCCCATATTACTTCATTTGTCCAAAATTTTTTAAAAATGTATCCCTTCTCCATTTAACCACAAAAGCTGATTCTCTTGTATTCTCCATTCACCCACCAACTTATGCATGCTTTCATAATTTATGAGCACCTAACTACATATGAGGTGCTGTACTCTGCATGAGGAATATAAAGATGAATGAAACAGACATTTTCTCTGCCTTGTGGATCTCACAGTAATGAAAAAAAACAAGATTGATTAGAATCATGAGGAATCACCATGTTAAAATGGAATAAAGGAGATGCTAGTTGGAGAAACTGTAAGCATGAAGGCCCATTTGCAACAACAACAACAAAAAAAAACAGGAATAGTCAAAGCGTTGTAAGGAACTAGAATATCTGGAGCTTAGACAGCAAGGAGAATGCAGCATAAGTGGAAGCTGCAGAAGGACACTGGCCAGAGGAACTTAAAAGCCCTGATAAGGTTTTTTGACTTGTACTCTAAGTGTAAGTGACAGACACTGAAGGGTTTTAGACAGAGAAATGATACAATCCTGTTTCCACTTTTGAAAGATCAGTTGCCTTCTATGTGGAGATTTGCAAATGAACATGAAGATTTGAAGTGGGAAAACCACCTTATGAGCATTCCTTTCTTTTGGCATCAAATCACGGATCCATCTAGCTAACAGGGTTATCACAGATGAGATGGCATCCTGGGATGCCTCACTATGCCTTCAATAACTGAGATGGAAAATACAACAGAGGGAATGAATAGCAGACTGCTAGAAGCAGAGGAAAGAATCGGTGTGATGAAAGATACAGAAGAGCAGAGCAACCAAGTGAAGGAACAGAAATAAAAAGGAAAAAGGAATTTCTAAAAATGAGCATTTGTTAAGAGAGCCATGTGACAACTCCAAATGAAACAATATTCACATAATAGGGGTCCTAGAGGAGAAGAGAAAGACAAAGGAGTAGAAAGTCTATTTGAAGAAATAATAGCTGAAAATGTTCCCAATCTGGGAAAGGGAAGAGACCCCGAGGTCTTGAAGTGCACAGAGCCCCTAACAAGATGAACCCCAGGAAGACAATATTAAGACATATAGTAATTAAAATGGCAAAGACTGAAGGTAAAGAGAAAAATCTTAAAAACAGCAAGAGAGACTCAGTTACCTATAAATGAAACTTGATAAGGCTATCAGCAGATTTCTCAGCAGAAACTTCACAGGCTATAAAGGAGTGGCATGAAATATTCCAAGTATTGAAAGGGAAGAACATACAACCAAGAATTCTCCACCCAGCAGGTTATCAGAATTGAAAGATGGATTAAAATTTCCCAGATAAGCAGAGGTTGAAATACTTCACCAACACCAAAATTTCCTTACAGGATATGGTAAGGTAACTAGATGGAAATGTTTTTAAGTCTAAATATTTTTTTCATCAGTAAAAATAAACTACTGTACAGGCAATAGACCAATTACTTACCAAGCAAGTATGAATTTCCAAAAATAAAAGTAATAAAAACAACTATAGAGAAAATTAGTCAAGGAATACACAAAAGATGTAGATTATGATATGTATACACACATTTATACATAAAGTGTGGAGGAGGAGGAAGAAGAAAAAAGTAGTATTTTTAGAATGTGCTTGAAATCAACTGGCCATCAACTTAATATAGGCTGTTATATTTTTAGGAAACTATCTATGAACCTTATGGTAACCAAAATCTAAAGTTTATAATAGGTACCAAAAATTTTTAAAAAGAATTCCAGAAAACACTGAAGACAACCATCAGATAACTAGAGAAGAAATTACAGGAAGAAAAGAACAAAGAGCAACTACAAAAGCAAATAGAAAACAATTAATGAAATGGCAATAAGTACATACCTATTAATAATTACCTTAAATGTAAATGGCTTAAATGCACCAATCAAAAGACATAGGTTGGAAGGATGGATAAAGAAACAAGATCCATCTATATGCTGCCTACAAGTGACTCATTTCAGATCTAAAGATATACACAGACTGAAAATAAAGGGAGGGAAAAAGATTTCATGCAAATAAAAGGGAGAAAAAAGCAGGAGTAGTAGTATTTATATGAGACAAAGTAGACAAAAATAAAGAAAGTACAAAAGACAAAGAACATTACATAATGATAAAGGGATCAGTCTAACAAGAGGATATAACAATTGCAAATATTCACCAACATAGAAGCACCTAAATATATAAAACAAATACTAACAGACCTAAAGGGAGAAACAAGACAGCAACACAATCATATTAGGGGATTATAACACCCACTTATATCGATGGATAGTTAGTTATCCAGACAGAAACTAAATAAGGAAACAGAGGCATTGAACAACATATTAGATTAAATGGATTTAACAGATTATCTATAGAACATTCCAAAAAAGCATCAGGATACACATTTTTTTTCAAATGCACATGGAACATTCTCCAGAATGAATCTCATATTAGGCCACAAAAAGGGCCTCAATAAATTTAAAAAGATGGAAATTGTATCAAGCATCTTTACAGACCACAATGGTATGAAGATAGAAATCAATACATGAAGAAAAGAAAAAGAAAAAAAAAACTCCCACAAATATATGAGGCTAAACAACATGCTTCTAAATAATCAATGGATCAATGAACAAATAAAAGAGGAAATCAAACTACATAAGACAAACAAAAACAGAAACACAATGGTTCAAAATATGTGGATGTCATAAAAGTGGTTCAAAGAGGAAAGTACATAGCAATACCTCAAGCAACAAGAACAATCCCAAATAAACAATCTAAACTCACAACTAAAGGAACTAGAAAAATAGAACAAACAAAGCCCAAAGTTAGTAGGAGGGAAATAATAAAGATCAGAGAAGAAGTAAATAAAATAGAGAAGAATAAGACAAGAGAAAAAAGTCATTGAAATCAAGAGCTGGTTCTTTGAGAAAATAAACAAAATAAACAAACCCTGAGCCAGACATATTATACAAAATCAGAAACAAAAAAATGAGAAATTACAAATGATACAAATTCAAAAAATTATTAGAGAATTCTATGAAAAAGCATATGCCAGTAAGTTAGACAACCTGGAAGAAATGGACAATTCCTAGAAATATATAATCATCGAATACTGACCAACGAAGAAACAGAAAATCTGAACAGACCAATTATCAGTAATGCAATTAAGGTGGTGATCAAAAAATTCCCAATTTGCAGTTGTCTAGTACCAGATGGCTTCACAGCTGAATTCTACCAAACGTTGAAAAAGGTAATACCCATCCTTTTAAAAGTATACAAAAAAAAGAGGAAGGAATATGCCCAAACTCATTCTATGAGGCCCAAATCATTCTCATACCAAAACAGACAAAGATAACACAAAAAAATTAAAATTACAGACCATTACCCATGGTAAACATAGATGTAAAAATCCTCAACAAAATACTAGCAAACTGAATTCAAAAACATCAAAAGGATATCCATCACAAACAAGTGGATTTATTCCAGGGATGAAGGATGGTATAGTATTCATAAAGCAATCAATGTGATAAACCACATTAACAAAAGGAAGGATAAAAACCATTTGATCATCTCAATAGATGCTAAAAAAGCATTTGACAAAATTCAACTTCCATTCATGATAAAAACTCTCAACAAAATGGGTATGGAGGGAACATACCGCAATACAATAAAGGCCATATATGACAAACCCACAGCTAACATCAATGGCAAAAAGCAGAGAGTTTTCCCTCCAAGATCAAGAACAAGGCAAGAATGTCCACTCTCACCACTTTCATTTAACATATTACTGGAAATTCTAGCCACTGCAATCAGAAAAGATAAAGAGAAAAAAGGTATCCAAATTGGTAAGGAAGAACTAAAACTGTCACTATTTGTGGATAACATGATACTATATACAGAAAACTCTAAAGAAATCCACTAAAAACCTATTAGAACTAATAACTGGATTCAACAAAGCTGCAGGATACAAAATCAATATACAGAAACATGTTGCATTCCTGTATATCACAATAAACTAGCAAAACAAAAATCAGGAAAACAACTCCATTTATAATTGAATCAAAAAAATTAAATACCTAGGAATAAGCCTAACCAAGGAGGTGAAATGCCTGTGCTCTGAAAACTATAATGCCCTCATGAGAGATATTAAAGAAGACACCAATAAATAGAAATACATCCTGTGCTCATGGATAGGAAGAATTAATATTGTCAAAATGGCCATCTTCCGCAAAGCAACTTACAGATTCAATTCAATCCCTATTAATAAAACAATAGCATTTTTCAACAAAGTAGAGCACATAATCCTAAAATTTATATGGAACCACAAAACACCCCAAATAGCCAAAGCAATCTTTAGAAACAACAACAAAGCTGGGGTGTATAATGCTCCCTGACTTAAAGCTATACTGATCAAAACACTAGGGTCCCAACACAAGAACAGATCTATGGATCAGAATAGAGAGCCTAGAAATAAAACCATGCATATATGGTCAATTAATACATGACAAAAGATGCAAGAATATATAATGGGAAAAATACACGCTCTTCAATAACTGGTGTTGGGAAAACAGGACAGCTACATGCAAGAGAATAAAACTGGATTACTGTATAATTCTATACACAAAAGTAAACTCAAAATAGATGAAAGATCTAAATATAAGACACAAAACCATAAAACTCTTAGAAGAAAACGTAGGCAAAAATCTCTTGAACATAAGCATGAGCAGTTTCTTCCTGGACATATCTTCCCAGGCAAGGGAAACAAAATCAGAAATGAACAAGTGGTACTACATCAAACTAAAAAGCTTCTGTGCAGCAAAGGATACCATCAGCCAAACAAAAAGGCAACCTACTGTATGGGAGAATATATTCATAAATGACTATCTGATAAGGAATTAACACCCAAAATATATAAAGAACTCATATAACTAAAAAAAAAAGAAAAAACATAACCCAATTAAAAAATGGGCAGAGGACCTGAATAGACATTTTTCCAAAGAAGACATACAGATGCCAATAGGCATGAGAAAATCTGCTCTATACTGCTAATCATCAGGTCAATGCAAATCAAAATCACAAGGAGATACCACTTCACACCAGTCAAAACAACCACTATCTGGGAGAGAAGAAATAACAAGTGTTGGCAGGGATGTAGAGAAAAGGGAACCCTCCTACACTGTGGTGGGAATGTAAATTGGTGCAGCCCCTGTGGAAAACAGCATGGAGGTTCTCCTCAAAAAACTAAAAATAGAAATACCCTTTGACCCAGCAATTCAATTTCTGGGAATTTACCTAAAGAAAACAAAATCTCTGACTCAAAAAGACATACATATGCACCCCTGTGTTTATTGTTGCATTATTTACAATAGTGAAGATATGGAAGCGACTTAAGTGTCCATCAACAGATGAATGGATAAAGAAGATGTGGTACATATACACAATGGAATACTCTTCAACCATAAGAAAGAAATCCTGCTATTTGCAACGACATGGGTGGACCTAGACAGTATTATGCTAAGTGAAATAAGCCAGGCAGAGCAAGATAAATACCATATGATTTCACTAATTAGTGGAATATAAAAAACAAAGCTAAATGAACAAAACAGCAAAGGACTCACCAGACACTGAGAAGTGACTGGTGATTGTCATAGGGGAGGGTTTGGGGTATGTGAGTGAAATAGGTGAGGGGGATAAAGAGGCACAAATCTCAATCATAATATAAATTAGTCATGGGGATGAATGTATAGCAGAGAGAATATAGTCAATGTTTCTGTAACATCTTTCTATGCTGATAGAAAGTGACTACACTGGTTGGCAAGAGTGTTTAATAACACATATAACTGTCAAATGACTATGTTGTGTACTTGAAACCAATAAAATATTGTGTATCAACTACACTTCAATAAAAATATATTAAAAAACAAAAACAAAAAACTCCTTTGTATTCAAATCTCCAAGTAAAAATGAAGCTCCAGAAAGATAAGCCTTTCTTACCCATGACGTCACACCTTGTGCCTTTCCCTTCTAGGCACTCACGGGCAAGCAGAAAACTATGGAGTTGACACTCCCTTGTCTAGAACAGAAAGTGGTTCACAGGGAGCAAGTTCCTGCTTCAACCATTCCCTCAGTCTCCTTCCCAGGTTTTTCCCCTCCACAGGTCTCAGCCCCAACTATTTCATTTTCCTAACGTGGCCTTTTATACCAAACTTTCCTTAGACATACTGCTTGATCTGCTTAGGTTTCTCTTCCTCCTCCTTCTTTCCTGGCAAATTCATCCTTCTAAATAATTTAACTATCTAAAACTGAGAAATCGCCTCCAAACCTGGGCTCCTATGCACCTCCATCTTGTGTATTTTAGTGAGCTGTTCACAGGCTTGCCTTACCACTAGACTCCCGGAGGGCAACAGAGAAAGAGGTTACCTTTTTAATTAATCTTTGGATCACAGGATTTTAACATAACGCCTACCAGGCGCTAGATATTCACCAACTCTCCATTAAATGACTCGTAAAATGCTGCATTTGCCTGTCTTTTGTCTGTAAGGATGGATCTTTTTAAAATTTACAGGTAATTTAAAATATCTTCTAGTTGCATAAAGTCAGAAAATTGTATACAAATACAGAATGATTGTATTGAATATATGACACATTCTATTACAAGTATTCACCAAAGAAGCTAGGATCATTGAGAAAGGAATAAACCTTCACTGCCTTGGTTTCTCTACTGGGTTATCAAGTAACTCTGATCTCTTCCTCCTAGAGACATTTATTTATAGGCTAGAATTTCATTTTTCTGGAAAGCTGTAGATACAGTTCTGAAGAAACGTAGGGGAAAAAAGGTTATTATCCTTCCTGTCTCTGTTAGTCTATAAGCAGTAAATGATTCTGAGTTCCAAAGCATACCGACAGAAGGTTTGGGGGTCAACTATTCTCAGTAGGACCCCCAACAGGGACTTATTGGCTTGTACTCCCAACATGTCTAACATGACAGCTCTTCTTAGGCTGCTTGCAGCTTACTTTATCATGGCATGGAGTAAAGACGCTTCTGTTTAATAATTCAGTGCAGTGGCTGCAGTCGTGCTCAGTACAATTCCTAACAGGTTTCCTCGTTGTTACTTCAAATGCTTTCTCAATTTCCCAGCTCTCAATAAATAATTCTATGTCCTCCATATTTGTAATAACTGTGCCATTTTGCATCCTTAGATCATCCTCTGGATCTTCATTGCAAATTCCTAGAAAGAAATGTGCCATTTAGAAGGAAAACTTTTCACTTAAACCAAAAATGTAGGCAGCAGAAATGAATCATCTTAATAATTGATTTTAAATGAATGAATTATTTACTGAAGTGTAAAATTTGTGTACTTTAATGTTAAAGGATTTTTTAAATTATGTATCTGATTCTTTGATAAAATAGTATAGAACTGTCTTAACTAAATAAGAAACTATGATACTAGAAGTCAAGATATGTGCAAAGATCATAGGAGATGAAGAAAGGAGATTGATTCTGTTCCTATACTTTCTACTATTACTATTACCTCCTCATTTAAGAACGAGCTCTTAAACTTGTCAAGGTATTCCTCAGAATAATAAACGTTTGGTCACTGCCATCTAGGCATCCATCTCCCCAGGAAAACCCTGCCTGAAAACATTATCCCAAACTTACATTATGCCTGAAAACTATCCCTGTCTTATCACTTAGCACATAACATCACTCAAGAATAGGGCCTTGAGTGGCAAAAAAGTAATCCTTACTTCCTTGTATTAACAATGATCACAAGTAACCTAGGCCTAGGCCAGTCCGTTTGTGGAAGTCACCTAGACACATGGGTTCCTTCAACATTTGGACAACCACTGTTCAACTCAGGATTTGACCTGTGGATTCAAGATACAGATTATCTCCCTTCCTCGGGATGACACGGCCTTTTGATGGCTGTAATGCTTTGACCTACTATAGCCTCTAGCTTCCTTAAGGAAGGCCAGACTAAGGGTGCAGTTTACCCTTCATCTTGTGGAGTGCAAAGCTAAGGGAAGTACAGAGAAATGGACCCAGAACTCGAACTTAGTGAAATCCCACCGTACATTAAGACATGTTATCTTAATTCCCAAGGATCTGGCTATAAAACATAGGTATTAAACTTTTTTTCCACCATCAAATCGAAATCCTCAAGCAAGTATATCAATACCACAAATGTTACTGCTACCATAGTTGCCTCATCCTTGTAAATATACAAGGGACTGCATCCAATGCAAAAATAAAAAAACAACAAAAGGCAAGTGAAGTGAACTACGCCATAAAGCAAGTATTTTCTTTTTAAGTCTTGACTCTTGGAGAATGATAATTTCTATGCTTCATTGCAACTCCAGCCACCACCCCAGCAGACTTCGCAGCGCTACACGGAGCGAGGTGTTGATATAGACCTCCCTCTCGGCTGTCCATGCCCAGTTTGGATCACATGCTTTTTCACTACAACTTTTTCGGCCGGCACCCAGCCTAGTAGTTATGACAAAACAGATCTCCCTTTAGTGAACCACCCGTCTCCCACTGCAAAGGTCATGAGGTTTAGGGGTGACCCTTGGTTAGCAGGAAGATGATCCTTTCTCTGCAGTGCTTAGTTAAGAATCCAGTTAGCAGAGTGTCTCCATGAAAGTCTGAGCTGACAAGGAAGGAGGGAAAAGATATGAAAATCGAAAGAAATCATGGCACACAGAAAAATCATAAGAAGGACTATGCATCCCCAAAGTCTCTGACTTATTACTCAATAACTATTGAGTTATGTATGATCAATACTCTATATACTAATAATAGCTTTTTCCCCAGTAATAAACTTTCATCACCATAGAAGTTTGTGCTTTGTTTGGTATTTTCTAAATTGGCACAGAAATATGTAAACCATTTTAACCAAGCTTTGCCCTAAATGATTTATGGAATAAATTTGGTATTGTTTCATTGTTGAGGGCAAGAACTTAGTCTTATTTGTTCCTGAGTTGTCAGCTCTAAGCATTGTGTTAGACACTCAGAAAGTGATAAAAAACTTTTACTCAATATTTAGTGAGATTAAAATAAACATATTTGTACTAAGCTAACATTTATTCATGGTGTGTATTAAGCAAGGTGTTAAGTGTTTTATACTAACTTTCACATTCAACTCTAAGAACTTCTTGAAGGTAGAATGTTAGTGTTCCCATTTTAAAGATGAGGAAACTGTGGGTCACTCAAGAGCACAGAGGTATAAAGGGGAGAGCTCCTGATATACTTTGTAGCAGACACCAGAGCCAGTATTATTCTCTGCATTTTGTTATGCACCTAGAGGTATTTCTAATTTGTTTCCTTTGGTTTATAACTCTTTATGTGTCTATGTGATCATATTGTGATATTAAACCTAGGTGTAAATGTATGTCTGGATATTACACTTTATAATAAAACTGGGACAAATATTCAGAACATTGTGTTTCCTGTATATAACTTTCAAGGTGGCTTGAAGAACTAAGTTTTCTCCAATATCAAACTTTTAAAAAATGAGGAAGAAACAGTTATTTAAGCCTTTAACATTTCTGCACCTCATTTTATTACTTATAAATTAACACGAGTGCCTACTTATTAGGGCTATTGTTAGAATTGAATGAGTTAACATGTGTAACATAATGTGTGGCAATTTATTAATGCTTAATAAAGATGAGCTACTAGGTAAACAGTTTCATAGTATTAGTGGTAAACATTTATTTCCATAAAATACCCAAATTGAGCTGTTTTTTCTTGCTTCTTAGCCCATTTATTGAAAGCCAACACTTCCTTCAGTATTCACATGGGAAACTGAAAGCTAACATCACATCTCATATCCAGAAAAGAGGGCAAAGCAGTGTAAATTGAACAGGACAAAGAATTAGAAATTGAGATTTGAAGAGCCGTACTCACCACAAAGTCCTTCTGTGTAAGATGACAAGTTAAATCGAAAACTAAAGTGGATGTCTATGATCCCTGTGAGATGTGCCCACTTTATGATTAGCCCAGCGGGAGTAGTGATGACGTACATGGTACCAGAATCCTCTATGGACAGTTCTTGATTTGAAAAGGGCAAAGGCACAACAATAGAATCCACTTCCACCTAAAACAAAATAGTGTGTTTTGTTCTGTTCGAAAAGTGTCTATGTTTAAATATATGCTTGTTAAAATTAGAAGAATTCAGATCTTTCCATTTCCTCTGATTCAATACAAACTGTTTTTACATTTTTAAAGTTTGATTTCTCTGCAGCTGCCACAGCTTCTAACTTCTAAGCTCTTCGATTGTTCCTTTGCTGTGTCCTGCAATATTCAGTATTTATTCTAACCTCATTGCCCTTTGTTTTCTTCAAAACCTAACTCTCTTCTTATGTTATATATGCTTTCCTGTTTCCCTCAATATATGTGACTACACCATTACCTACAAATATGAATTTAAGATAATAAAGTAATTTGCAGGATGTTTTCTTTAATCTGAGGCTTTGATCTTCTGAATCAGTGTTGAACTATGATGTTCCTAATGATCATCTGTCAAGTGTGGTAAAGATTCAGATTTCCAGTCATTCTATTTCCTAGGTTTGGATGGGATTCTGACTCTGTATTTTTAGCATGTGCTTTTGGTCATACAAATGCAGGCAGCCTGAGGAGTTTTAAATGACAGCCATGACGTGGAACCAGCAGTAAATTTGTTGAAGTAATGCCTTACCAACCACCCAATTTCTCATCTTTATATCTTCCTTATCCTACTCCCCCCAGGCTGAAATAACCTTCTTCTTGCCTAGTTAATTTCTACTCATTCTTTAAGATTTATGTCAGGTGTCACCTCCTCCAGAGATACCTATTTGACCCTCCTATAAACTGCATTCAGTGATCTGTTTCCATGTTATCTTGATCATAATTGTCACTATCCCTCCTATCGCTTTCTACTTGGCAGATAACTACATTTACGCATCTCACATACGACTTAAGTTACTTGAGATCCAGGAGCGTGTTGTTTTATTACATAAATTCTCACTAAATGATTCTTAAATAATTAGCTTTTATGACTGAAAAAATGACCAATGATGAGTTCAGCTTATGCCAAAAATAAGCCTTTTGGCCCAAATGCTCACAAAAACAGCACTGACCAGATTTGAGGTTCAATTTCTTTCCCACCCACTTCCTGTTAACTATCAGCTTCATCAAAACCAAACGTATATACAGATGCTATCATCTGAAATATTTCTTTATTCATATATTTTGTCTTACTTGACATTAAACTTTCTAATACCCTTACTATACTTTAGGCTAACTTTAATATTGTTTCCAGTCTAGAATGTATGGCCCATGCTGAGAGACAGAATTTCTTCTGGAAGGCATATAACAGCTCAGCCATTTTTAGTAAAATCTTTACATTATTTTCTTACATTTTTGAGAGAGCCACTTAGATTGGAGTGAAGCATTTTACAGCTCACTCCTTTCCAGTAAACGTATTTCTTGGGATAAAGGCTTTTCCTATAAAATGAAATGTTTTCTTTCCAACCTTTTTATAGTGCATTGTTTCTTCCTCAGCTTATTTCAATAAACTTAAATAGTCCTTCATTTTTTTCTTATTTAAGCTTATTCACTGACAAATTAATGGTGTCCGAACACCATTAACTAAAAAACTAATACTTCAACTCCTTCCATTATTTTTCTCTTGTCGTCTTCATTCTGATATTCTTGACTACTAATCTTTCAACATTATGATCCCTCTTTTTCACTGTATTTCCACTTTGTCTACTTTGAAACACTAATGTTAACTCAGACACTAAGAAGCCTCACTCACATTATATGAGGTGGCCTCAGTTTATTTAATAGGTCATTACAGTTAATCTCACAAGGGGAGAAATATTTGCAACAGTTGGCACACTATGGAAAGAGAAATATAATATTAAGAAATACACTTTTTAGATTGTCCATCAGAAGAATAATTAGACATAACAATGAAACTCCACTGATATGTTTAATTTTCCCTCTTTTTGGAAATAACTGTGTTTATGTAATATCTTTATTTCATCTAATGCAAGTATATTTTTAACTTTGTATTTTTACCTTTCTTGCTGCCCGATTGACAAGCATTTTATGTAGAGATGTTGTCAAATTTAATTTCTTAAAACAAAGTCCAGAGATTCTTCCAGAGGAAGCCTTAATTTGAAAAAAAAAATTAAAAGTTTATGGAGTTAAACATCAATAAACAGAAGGAATTTACTAAACACTTTGCAAATACTCACTGGCTTTTTCAATGAGTTTCCATTCTGAAAAAAATATAGAAAAACACGTTTAAAAGAAATATATTACTTCACTTTTAAAAACATTATTTGGATTCATATTACATGCCTCCAATATATTCACATGAAACATGTTTTGTTTGAGTACCAAAAGATACATCTCAGTGAGTTCTTGAGCCCCTTCTTACTCTGAGACTGTCTAATGTTGCAGTGTACCTTAGCTATAGATTTATGAAGAAATGACAAAAGGAGGGATTATGACCTACCTGATTGATGGAACATTTTTCAATATGAGCAACTATAACTTCCCCAGGAATTCTTACTAAGATGTAGGTAGCCATACTATATAACGCTGCATTGTTTCCATCAAACGTGATAATGCTCAGTTCTGACAGCATGGAACAGCGACCTAAGGAAAGGGTCAGAAGTGGATTAAGTCTATTTAATTATTTATACTTTTAGTAATAACTGTTCCTTTAAAAAATCTTTTAAATTTTTGTTATTATGTTAGTCAAGAAGCAACTTTGAAAGTTACATACTGGGAAGAAAAATCATGAATTGAGCGAAGAAAGTGCAATAATAACTCTGGCTTGATAAGTGACATAATCAGTTCAAAAATACAACAATCTCCCCCAGTTGAAAATTGACTGCCATGCAAACATACAAGGACATTCCCACTCGGGGCAGCAGATGTCAGTGTTCACTTGAACAGGTCTTCCCCGGAAACCACAGTCAGGCATTTCCAAGTCCTTCGGGCAATGAAGGGACCAGTTATAGAGTGTCCATTCCATATTCAGGCATATATATTGGCTACAATTATAAACAGGATCAAATTGTTGAGGCTGTGAATAAAAAAAGAAAATTATTCTGTTTTTTCTGCTCAACAAATATTTTCAACTGTTTAACTTCTCATTCACATTGTACATTTCCCAAATACTAAGTTTTAGAAAGAGAAACAGTTAAAATTTCACTATGACTTCTAGTAGATGTATCCTCTCTAAAGTACTTGGTATGGACTTCATTTAAACTTTCCCTTAATATTGATTTGATATCAGAATTGCCCATATACTCAGACATGTGAGCAAACTGAAGTCTTCTCCCAAAGTATCTAGTTTAGTGTTTCACAAGCAGACTTATACAGTGGCAGTCAACCTTTCATATAATGTTGTGTAAAGATATGTTGTTCAGCAAAAAAGGTAAACATACAAAGTTAAAAATATACTTACGTTAGATGAATTAAAGAAATTACATAAACCTAATCATTTCCAAAAAGAGGGATAATTAAACATGGTGAGGAAAACTCCACAATGGAGTTTCATGGCTACTGTATCACATGTTGGCTTGACTAGTTCAATTACTTGACTAGCAATTAATAGCTCTGGGGTTCAGTTACTTTTTCCTTTCACTTGCCAATGTATCTTTGTCATCTGGCAGTGGCCAGCATATGGCAACTGCTTGATAAATTATTTTGAATGCCGGACTTAGAGAGAAGCTCACACTAGATGATTTTTTATTTCAGAATTACACTTAAGACTTCATTTGAATTTTATCTGTTTCTCTTAATGTGACCAGAATCCAGTTAATAAGAAATATCTGAATTAGTTAAGAATATACAATTGTTAAAATGTATTGCATATTTATTATAATTTTTTAGCAAAGAGACTAGAAAGCATAGCAAAAGAAGTTTCATAGCATGTGATTAGTGATACAGACACTTGAACAGATGCTATAATGAAATTACAAATAGATGGATTAGATCACCCAGTCATACCTCACATTCCAAGCCTGTTGTGGGTGTTAGCATGTCAAACACAGTGAAGTCTGATGGGGTAATCATTTCTGGACCTGTTAGGAATGAAGATGTCCTTCCATTAGTGGAATGGCAGTCATCATATATTCAATACATATGTGGTATAAATTGTGCTAATACATTTTATATAGATTGTTTTATTTGTCCCCACAAGAACTTTATGAAGTAGATTATATTCTTATAATTTTACAGATAAGAAAACTAAGGTATAGAGAGGTCAGTTGGTAGGTGTCATAGGCAGAATTTGAGCTTAGGAATTCTTATTCCAGAGCCCTGGCTTTTAACCACCATGCTACAAACATCTTCACAGTCATGATAGTGTCAACACAATTGTTTGAAAAGGTGAAATACCAGTGGTATCACTAATGATTGTTCATGAGCTACAAAGTGTGTTGCATTTTGAAAATAAGCAGTAGGGCTGTCTTATTTCCCTTGGTAAATCTCTATAATGTGATCCTTGCGAGCAGAATACATGGAACTATGAACCACAGGGAGAAAAGCCCAGTTGGTGGGTAGGGTGTAGGAGTGTTCCATGGAAAGGGAAGATCTGATTGATAAACACATTGGTAAGGCACCTTACAAAGCTTTTTGTCAGTACTACAGTATCTCTAAAGTATTCAAAGTCTAAAGGACTATAGAAGAGCCAAAACAAATGGCTGAAATTTTGTCTAGCTCCAACACAGCATCCATCACTGACGCCGTCTAAAAATGGCTGCACAAAATTACTTATTAGTATTAAATATAATACATGAAACTAGAAGAAAACAGAGGCAGTACAGACTTTTTTCCTTGATATGTCTCCCCTGGCAAGGGAAAAAAAAGCAAAACCAAGCAAACAGGACCACATCAAACTAAAGAGCTCTGCACTGTAAAGGGAGACCTCAACAAAATGAAAAGGCAACAGCATGGGACAGTATGTTGGCAAATGACATATGTGATAAGGGACAAATATCCAAAATATATCAAGAGCTCATAGAACTCAACACCTCCTCAAAAAATAAAGAACAAATAATGCAACTTAAAGATGGGCTGAGGACTTGACATTTTCCAAAGACATACAGATGGCCAACAGACAAATAAAAAGATGCATAAAAAACATCATTCATCACCAGGGAAATGCAAATCACCACAATGAGATATCATCTCACACTCGTAAGAGTGACTACTATTAACAAGATGAGGAATAACAAATATTGGTGAAGACATAGAGAAAGGGAAGCCTCCTACACTGCTGGTGGGACTGTAAATTGGTGCAGCCACTATGGAAGGCAGTGTGGAGGTTTCTCAAAAAACTAAAAATAGAAACACCATACCACCCAGCAACTCCATTTCTGGGAATTCACCCAAAGTAAACAAAATCACTAATTCTGAAAGATACATGCTCTCCTACATTCTTCACTGCAATATTTAACAATAGCTAAAACATGGGAGCAACCTAAATGTCCATCAACAGGTAAGTGGGCAAAAAAGATGTGTTACATACATAGAGTGGAATATTGCTCAGCCATAAAAAGAATGAAATCTTGGCATTTGCAACAACATGGATGGACCTAGAGGTTAGCATGCAAAGTGAAATAAGTCAGACTGTGAAATGCCATGAGATTTCATTTATATGTGTAATATAAAAAATAAAACAAATAAACTAACAAACAAAGCAAATATAGATTTACAGACAGACTCAGAGAACAGGCTGGTGGTTGCCATAGGGGAGGGGGGTGGGTAGATGGGTGAAATATGGGAAGTGGGAAGAAATTAGTGAGAACGGTTGCTATCTTGATCTGGGTGAAGGTTATATAAGTGAATACACAAGGCAGAATTCATGAAGCCATGTCCTAATATTTATGCATCTTATTATATGTACCTTAATATCTTTTTAAATTGTGAAAAAATTCTGATAACTTGAGAGGAAAATAAGTTTTTTAGATGTTTATACTAGTTTCCTATTGCTGCTGTAATCAATTACTACAAATTTCGTGGCTTTAAACATCACCAATTTATTATCCTGTGGTCCTGGAGGCCCGCAGTCCTAACAGAGATATCTGCAGGGCTGCATTCTTTCTGGGGTCTAGGTGGGTATCTGTTTCCCTTTCCAACACTATGGATTGCCTGAGCACTTTGGGTAACAGGCCCTTCCTCCATCTTCAAACTCACAGTGTAATATCTTCAAATCTCTCTTCCTCCCCCTGTTTCTCACTCTCTGTTTATCTCTCCCCTCACCAGGTCCCTTCTCTGACTCTGGGCTTCCTGCCTCTCTCTTCTTCCAAGGACCCATGTGATTACACTGGGCCCACATGGATAATCCAGAATAATTTCCCCATCTCAGGATTCTTAATCACATCTGCAGATCCCTTTAGCATGTAAGGTGCCATATTCATAAATTCCAGGGATTGAGACATGAACATCTCCAGGGACCATTTTTCAGTCTCCTACCGCGACATCAAGGAAAACTTTCACTTTGTCAGTTAAATAAATTCTATACATAAACTTCACTTCGTATTTATTTTATAGTTGCTAATTTACAGAATAAAGTAGAACAAAACACCCATTCCTTGTCCTTTGTGTAATGATGATATATTAGATGTTGCATCTTCTAGAGAATGTGGTAATATTACAGATTTAAGTATTTCATTCCTATTGTCATAAACTTTTGAAGAATGGAATAAGAAACAAAGCTTTAGCCCATAACAAACACAGAGCCCTTGTAAATGGAAAAATTCTAATGACTAGGGAATGGAGTGGTCTCAGGAATGAAAGAGTCGATTGTTTTCTAAAATCACCAAAATGTTATAAGCATTGTCTGGCTGCAGAATTGTAATAGTCAAGTAGTCATGATAACTACAGTTTTGTATAAGTTTTGAAATTGGAAAATGTGAGTCTTACAGATTTGTTTTTATTTTTCAATATTGTTTTGGCCATTTCAGGGTTATTACATTTCCATATGAATTTAGGGTGAGTTAGTCAATTTGTACAAAGTAACTGGATTTTTCTAAAGATTGCATTAAATTTGTATACCAAATTTAGTAGTAGTGCCATCTTAGCAATATTAATTCTTCAACCCAAGAACAGAGGATGTTTTTACATTTATTGTGATCTTCTAAATTCTTTGAATAATATTTTGTAGTTTTCATTGTACATCTTATACTTTAACTAAATGTACTATATTTTATTTTTTGTTGATGCTGCTCTAAATGGAATTGCTTTCTTCATTTCACTTTTAGACTATTCATTGCCAACATATAGAAACACAATTGATTTTTGTCTATTGATCTTGTTTTCTACAATTTTGTTGATTTTTTATTATTTGATCATGTATTAGTACTAATAGGTCTTAGTGTATTCATTTGAATAATCTATATACAAGATCATGCCATATAGAAATAGAAATACCCTGACTTTCAGGGTAATTGTCTTACCTCTGAGGGTTATGGAGTGTAAGTCATATCCCCTACATATAGACAGTGGTGGTTTAACTTTAGATGTATATGCTATATGTTGAATATTGATTTGGGGGATATTAGAGAATTCAAAGTAGAGAGCATACTTACTAGAATTAACAGTTTATATCCTGAATACTGGGAAGTTTAACCTTATTCATAGACTTAATCCTTCCAAAGATTAAATGATGTAAGCAAATTACTTCCAGGCCCTCCCAAAATATGTTTTTACGATATTAGATTCACTGATGCTTAAAATTCTGCAACAGGAAAGCATGTCCTCATCTTAACAAGGGTAATGAGAACCTCTCTCTCTATAAGCATTCTTACAAGGATTTAAGGTGTGGAAAGTGCTTAGTCCACTACCTGGAATATAAAAGGTATTCAATAAATGGTAGTCAATGAGAACAGTGATAATAGTGATGGTTTTACTGATGCTGTTATTTTGAGTATGTCACAGGACTTCTTTAAATTTTTAATGATTTTCTACAGCCTTCAGAAAAAAAGAAATCCAACTTCTTGCCATGGACACTTTGTGATCTGGCTTCCATCCTATCTCTTGGTGTAATTCACCTTACACTCTATGCTCAAGATACATTGCCTGAACAAAAGAGCCTCAGTAAACTCAGAAGGATTGAAATTGTACCAACCAGCTTCTCAGACCATGAAGGTATGAAACCAGAAATAAATTATGCAAAGAAAACAAAAAAGACCACAAACATATGGAGGTTTAACAACATTCTCCTAAATCAATGGATCAATGACCAAATTAAAACAGAGATCAAGCAATATATGGAGACAAATGAAAACAACACCTCAACATCCCAAATTCTGTGGGACACAGTGACAGCAGTTCTAAGAGGAAAGTACATAGCAATACAGGCCTATCTCAAGAAAGAAGAACAATCCCAAATGAACAGTCTAAATTCACATTAATGAAACTAGAAAAAGAGGAACAAATGAGGACCAAAGTCAGTAGAAGGAGGGACATAATAAAGATTAGAGCAGAGAAGAAAAAAATTAAATTGAGAAGAATAAAACAATAGAAAATATTAATGATACCAAGAGCGACTTCTTGGAGAAAATAAACAGAATAGATAAGCCCCTACCCAGATTTATCAAGAAGAAAAGAGAGTCTATACACATAAACAGAATCATACATGAGAAAGGAAAAATCACTACAGACACCACAGAAACACAAAGAATTATTAGAGAATACTATGAGAAATTACATGCTAACAAATTGGATAACCTAGAAGAACTGGACAACTTTCAAATAAAATAAAGCCTTCCAAAACTGACTCAGATAGAAACAAAAAATCTGAGCAGACCAATTACCAGCAACAAAATTGAATTGGTAATCAAAAACTACTGAGGAATAAAATTCCCAGACCAGATGTCTACACAGCTGAATTTTATCAGACATTTAGGGATGACCTAATACTTATCCTCCTTAAAGTTTTCCAAAAAGTAGAAGAGGAAATACTTCCAAACTCATTCTATAAAGCCAGCATCACTCTAATACCACAGCCAGGCACACCACACAAAAAGAAAATTACAGACCAATATCCCTGATGAACATAGATGCAAAAGTACTCAAG